CTATTCTCTTCCCTATACAGCATTGAACTGTCGCTTACTTGAGTTTGCCCACTTTGCAAGTCACGTTGCTGGTGGTGGGGATTCTAAGTGGAACCGTTTTCTGTTGTGACTGAAATTCTCCCTAGAGTTGTGACTGAAATTCACCAAAAGTACAATTTTCTTTTCAGAAAATAAAAGAAACGTGGGAACGAGCAAAACCTGCATAAGCTAAGAGAAGCCTGCGCCACCGGTTCGAGGTGAGGAGGTGTCAAGTGAGAGTTAGGTAAACCTCTCACCTTAGTCAGTCAGTATCAGTTAGTTAGTCAGGTTAGTCACCTTAGTTAGTCAGTCAGTATCAGTCTTGCCTCTGAGTCATAAGATTGTAGGTTCAAGCCCCATGTTGGGACTTTGAACTCATATAGGCTAACACTCCCTAGTGATGTCCTTTGGATGAAACTTTAAATCAAGGTCTTATCTGCCTATTCAGGGTGATGTTAGAAAAGAGAAGGGAACTTTTTCCAGCGTCCTGGTCAACAATCCCCCAACGAAAAATGGTGATTTACTTTATGGCTGTTTGTAGGACATTGCTGTATGCAAATTGGCTACCGCACTCGCATACAAATACACAGTCATTACACTTCACAATAAAATCAAATGCACTGTATCAATTGCAAGGATTATTATTGGGAATTATTCCGAAAGGAAATGTTTAAATTTGACTTCTTTGAAAGTAAATTTGTGGCTAAAGCTTTTTTACATTGATATTCAAGTAGGAAACGGGAGCTGGGCTGGCTGATGTCATGAACCCATTCAGCTCAATTTCCGAAATAATTGGGGAGGCGAGAGGAGATGTGATTTTTTTTCAGTAACATTTCTGAGACGGCAGAAAGAGGAAGCTGCGTCTCATGTGTTGCAGTGAAAGGTAATTAACCTAATTCAAAACTTGTAAAAGCAAGAGGCTAATCAAACCCACGCTATTTTCTTGCCAAACAACCGTCCTCCACCCCCCCACTTCTCCTTTCTCTGCTTTCTTTCGCAGCACTGTTGTGCCTTTTGCTACTCAGACCATCAGAAATGCATGGTTATTTTTTCCTGTGCCCTTCCGTTAAATATACGCTGATTAAGAACACAGGCAAGGCAGTTCGACTAAAAATGTAGATGCATTATTGGCACTTAACATTTAATCGCTCCTTTAATTTCGTGTCCAGACAGAAAATGCCTTGTACCTAATTTCTGCAGCACAGTGCACTTTTGTTTTTCGAACAAGGAGGTTTATTATCTAGATCTAAATGACTAGGTTTATCAAAGTCGTTGTTGGCGGAGGAAGGGCAGGATTGCGCCATGCTGAGGAGGATGTGACACAACTGGAGACATCTGTGGTGGAGACATCGTAGGAATTGGGATTAGATTGGCTAGTTCCAGTGGATGAGCTAGCACCAAGCTGAGACTCAGTGGGTCGAATGCTATACTTTCTATGTAATCTTACAAAGGGAGGTCATTGATACATTGCTCAAGAAAGGCTCCCATTGATTCTGTAGGGGTGTTGGGGATCCATAAACACTGATCTTTCCAATCTTTTCTTGTATTCCTGTGATAGAGGCTTGCCTGGGCTGGAAGCCAGTAGTCAGAGGTAACATCACCACTGATGAGGCAGCACAGAGTCTGGCTTTATGGACCCAAACTACCAATGTTATAACTTGGTGGCACTAGTCAATGAAGCCAACCCTTGTCACCCAGGAACCAGCTGGGAGACAGGGGCTTAAACAGATGTATGACAGTTGCAGCTGTTAAAATGAAGGCAGGATGGAGGAGGAATGGAGGGAGGGAGGGAGGGAAGGGAGGGAAGGGAGGGAGGATCTGAATGGTTCCCTTGTGATTTGGGCTTTCAAGAGGATGATTTCCTTGCTGTGGTTTCTGATCATCCCCACGTTGATGAATGGATCCCTTTGGTGGGTTAATTTATGGCACCTGGGTTTATGGTTACACATAACTAAAGCATTGGCTGCACATGAGAACAATGGATATTGGTAAGAATGTAGTGATGGCGTATTTGGTAGGCAAACACGGCAGCCAATTTGTGAATGTAGCAGACAATATGCACACAGCAATGTTCCGCAGACCCAAGGAATGAGTGACCAAATATATTTGGGGGATTGTTGGCCTGCACACCAGGAGAAATACCGTTCTTTTTTTGAATAGTGCCACGGGATCTTTAACGTGATTTCCAAGTCCCTGTCTGCTGGCCTGGGGTAAGTACCAGCTATCTTTAGTGAGCCTGTAGAGCCCTTTGTGTTCACGCACCTCTCTCAACTCCTCCAGCATGTACATCTGAGCCTGAAAATCTGTTCCCTTGTGTTTCAGCTCCCCCTTGTCCTCCTCGGTCACACACAGTCTGAGCTGCAGAGAAACATTCGCTCTTCAAGGCATCGACTTAGAATTGTGGAATTTGGAACAAATTGCAGCTTAATAGTCTTTAAACAAATTCATTCGGCCTTTCTTTTTGTCCCCGAGGACTTCACGTTAACTCTGGCATTTGAGGGGTAGGAATTTGTATAATGTTTCCATTGCACTGTTACCCTCACTCACATCTACATTATCAATGGAGGCCCCCAGGTTGTGCAAACTTAGCAAACGCTTGTCAAGAGTTGCTGATCATTTTATAGATTTTCACACAACCGGTTCCCCTTGAAACTATTCCTCTGTGAAGGCGGGAGTGGGGAATAAGATACGAGTCGCGTCAGCTTGGCTCAGTTTTGTAGCACTCTTTTCGTCTGACTGAAAAGCTTGTGGGTTCAAGCGCCCACGCCAGACTTTGAGCTCAGAGGCTAGTCTGACACTCTTTAGCAGAGCGAGCATTGCTCAGCATTGTGGGAGGTCCCTTATTTCTAATGAGATTCTTAAATTAGGATGCAATTTTTCACACTAAGGGCAGTGGAAATCTGGAACTCTCTCCCCCAAAAGGCTGGGGATACTGGATCCATTCACATTTTCAAAACGGAGGTTGGTAGATTTTTGTTAGGTCAGGATATCAGGGGATATGAGGCAAAGGCGGGTATTAGGAGTTGAGGTACAGATCAGCCACGATCTAATAAAATGGTGGAACAGGCTCGAGGGGCTGAATGGCCTACTCCTATTTCGATGTAGACATTAATTTGAGCTCCTGCCCACCTGCTCAGTTGGACTTTAAGGATCCCACGTTATTGTTTGAATAGAGAAGGGAGTTTCGCCTGTTGTCCAACAAACCTTCAGATAAATCAGTCATTCACCCTAGCTTGCTGGCACAAGCTGTCTGGAAAAAAAGTCACTGATCTTAATGGTAATTACTTGTGAGACTTTTTGACGTGATAAAGTGCTCTACAGATACCAGCTGGCAGGCAATCAGCACACGATCTGGAAACACAGTTATGCAAGACTCTACACATGTCATGTCAGGAGGTTTTGGGATCACGAGTGTTTTCAAACACTTTTAGAGCAAACACTGAGCGTTTGATGTGGCGCATGTCTGTAATCCAATGAGGAACGAGGGGCACTATTTATTTTAAAAAGCTGTGAAATCAAGTCTTTCCATTTCCCTTCCTTCACCCTGAAATGACATTCTCCCGAATCCTAATGCTGGTTCCCAGGGATCCGTTGAGAACAATGCATAGAATATATGAACAATTCTGTAATTATGGCACACACACACCACACACACAAGTACACTGGAGGAATTGGAAACTTCTAATCTTCTATTATTTTTGGATACGGTGCAGAACAATGACTCCTTCAGGCCACAGGATTAGAGGGGAGAACTACACAAGGTTGCAATGATGTTGCCATGTTGAACACTGGTGCCAATTCCAAGCCTAAAAAATTAACCCTGCGCAAGGGAGGGAGCCATGTGAGGAAGGCGAGGTCTATCAGGCAAACGTTCGCCCATCGAGACTGTCACGCGTGCCAGTGTTTTTAGCAGCGCCGACATCACAATACAAAGAGAAGTTGCGAGATGTTGTGACAAAAATATATCAAAAAATTTAATGCAGATAATACATATTTCACAAAATTTTCAATGTTGTGTTGTAAGGGGATGGGGTGGTGGGGGTAGGGGGGAGGTAGGAGAAGTAGGAGGAGGCAGGGCGGGGGGTGGGGCACCATTTCAGAGACCATTCTGAAAAGTGAATTAAACATTTGAAGGCGTCAAGATTTTAAGCAATCATCTGTCTACAGTCTGACATGGCAGAAAAATAGATCCTTCACTCCAATCCTTTTTTTTGGAGGGGTGGGGAGGGAAGGGGTTGGGGGGGAATGGGGGACGGAAAGTAGGAGGGATGGCACAAAGAGGAAGAATTTCTTTTCAACAACTTGGCCTAAAATTTGTTTTAAGACGTAGCAGTCAAAATTGCGACTTCTTCTTTTGCAGGGAAGATGTTGACACCTGCGGAAACCTGTCGCCGTGCTTGCGAGTATCCGAACCAGACAGGGAGTTCTATATATGTGCTCGACCTACATGTGGAACTTTCCCCCGTCCTTGCAATGGAATGCTCACTCTCTCCCTCTCCCCAGAGGGACACACCACGCTCACCTAATCCCGGAGAGTATTAGGCGCAGGTTTGGATGAGAGCCAAGCTGATTGAGCCCCTTACCCTGTTAATTAACTGGAATAATTTAAACATTGCTTAAAAAAATGTGGACAGTCGATATCTTAATTACTGGCAGGCTCACGGGTCTCCCCGACTCCGGTAATTTAATGGTTGTACCCAACCTGCCCACTAGATTGCTGTCCACGGATGGAACTAATTGTTAGCGAGATACCAGAAGATGGGGAGACAATTAACAATCACATGCAGGGTGTTAGAGGACATAGAAGGGAGAGTAGGGAATTGGGATTAGAGAGGATGACTTCTTGGAGGAGTGAGCACTGGCACGGAAAAATGGGCGAAATGGCCTCCTAACGTGTCAGACATTTTTATGGTTTGCCTCACCAACGTTGTCCAATTGTTGTGACAGAAACGGTGGGGGGGTGGTGGATGGGGGGGGGGGGGAATGGATGTTACACACAGCCCCAAACTGTCCATCTTCTTCCCACGATGTATCAACTAGCACTGCTCCAAGGGTTAGTTTCACCCCAGTATAGTGTAGGAGATTTAGGAAACTTTATGCCTTTCTGTCCGCGAGGAATCGATTGCCAACATTTTTACATTTGGGGCTTTTCAAGTGAAGAAAGTGAAGCCAAACTCCAGCATAAAAATCATCTGTCTGAACGGTTTCAATTTGTGGGCCAGTTCACTGCTTGCCTATTGGTTTTGGTTCCATCCCTAAGCACGTTTTAATTTAATNAAAAAAACTCTTGCTCTTCCCTTTTGGGAGGGGAGAGAATTTATTTTCCTCTCTCCTCCCTCCTTAATACCTGCACACTGAAAGTGTTTCGAAATTTCAATGTTCGCACCATCATAAATAATAGTTAAGCAGACCACCTTTTTTTCTTAAATATATAAAAAAAGGTAGAAAAAACAGAGCTGTCGTTTCCCTTTTTAAGGCATTTACACTTAAAGAGTTTAAAAAGTCTTTCACGCACCCACATCAAGTGACCAAACCATATCGCTACATGGCCTCTAGAGCTCTCTGTTTCTCTCTCTCTCTCTCTCTCTCGAGCCATTTCTGTTCACTGACGTTTCTCTCTCTCGGCCTCTTGAGTCCCGGTTGCACTCTGCGGGGCCTGAACGACGCAGTCGGCTTGCGTCCGAAACTTTACACTGCAACAGGACCATTCCTTGTGTGCGTTTCCAGTTGCTTGAGGCTGCTCACCACCTTGTTCGGGTGCCCAGAAAGAGTGAACCCAATCTTCTTTAAATCACTGCAAGACAAAAGCCAGGAAAATTCAGACCTTTTTTTCCCCCCATTGCTTCGCTACCATTAACATAAGATTCAGATTCCCTAATGCATGTTTCTTCTGCTCTTAGCCTTGAGATTATTAGTCTTAGAATTTACAGCCGTGTAAAAATAGCGGAAAAGAATCCTTCATTTCAAGCACTGTGAAAATACCCATTTTCAAATTAAAACAAACTATACATGAATACAGTATTATACGGTAGTAATATATATCATATACAAGATATAATAATTCTTATATTTGATACAGCGCCTTTCATGTCATGAGGACACCTCAAAGGGCTTCACAACATGGACTGTTAAGTATATTTTGTAGGCAAACCTGACAGCCAATTTGCCTACAGCAACGTCCCACACACAGCCATGAAATGAATGACCGATTTTTATCAGAGCGATTGTTGGCGAGGACATCGGGAGAAACCCCTTTCTCTTTAAAATCGACCTCTGGACAGGCACAGACCTAGGTTAAACGTTTAATCAAAGGACAGCGGTTCTGACAGTGCAGCATAGACTGTGAGTACAAAGTCTTCGTGTAGGGATTGAACCTACAAGCTTCTGACCCAGTGGAGGAGGGGCGCCGGTGTTGGTGTGGGGGTGGGGTGGGGGTGCAGGGGACGGGTGGGAGGCGAGAATGAGCCAGGCTGACAATTATATCCACGAGCCCCATGAGTTCTTGCCAACTGTATCATGTCAGGATACCAGATAAAAAGTTCAGCACGAAAAGATAATTAACACTCACACAGGGGTGACGTGATTTGAGGTGTTTAAAATAATAAAGGGATTCGATAGGATAGATACAGAGAAACTATTTCCTCTGGTAGGGGAATCCAGAACAAGGGGGGATCATCTTAAAATTAGAGCTAGGCCATTTAGGAGTAAAATCAGGACAAAAAAGGTCGTGGAAATCTGGAACTCTCCCCCCAAAAAGGTTGTAAATTCACAATCATATTTTCAGGACTGAGGTGCATAGATTTTTGTTAGGTAAGGGTATCAAGGGATATGGGGCAAAGGCGGGTATTTGGAGTTGAGGTACAGATCAGCCACGATCTAATAGAATGGCAGAACGGGCTGGAGGGGCTGAATGGCCTATTCATATTCCTGGTTCTACGTTCCTAGGAAACAATACCTCTTAGAAATCAAGCAAATAAGATGGAGAAAAGAAATCATTCTGATCATTTTCCAAAGCACAGACAAAATCTCCATTTGGTGATATGCACCGTAATCATTTTCTACATCCAAACAGCCTCCATGCTGTGTGCCAGAATGGAACTGACTACTTGCCTTAATATACTACAGTTTCGAGTACTTGATGTAAAACCTCTTGTTCCCTTGCCACAACAAGAAAAAAAACAAATCAGGACTCCTCAGTCTTTGGCCCAGAGAGAAGAGTTTCCGATTTCCATCTCTCTTGTTTGTGATTCTTAATTTACAACAGCAGCGTTCAATTCCCACCAAGGGGTGACTTTTGGCAGTGGAAGGAAACTTCCAGAAGCCTCTACGTGCGCTCCTATCCCTGCGATCAGAAGCCGTGAGGTGTAGTAGCAGCCCCTTCCGGTTCTGTATAGGCTCCCAATCAGAATTTGCCCGTTTGCTTAGATTATATTTAGGGCTGGAGGATTAGACTGTTGAGTGTTCTGATATATTGCATTGTTCAGCTGTGATGAAAGCTTAATTAATTTCGTAAAAACATGTCACTTATTCCAGTTGGAATGACAAAATAACAGAAGGAAACCATTCAGTGTATCGTGCCTGTGCTGTCTTTAACCACTCGTGTTGGATGAGGGGCCTACAAAATATACAGTCACTACACGTAAGTACATAAAGATCTTGTGAAGAGCTTTGAGATGTCCACCCCACGTAAAAGGCGCTACAGCAAATGTAAGGATTTTTGTTTAGTTGTTGAGCCCAGTAGTGAGGACCAGCCAGCCTTAGAGGAGAGGAACACTGTCATTCACTAGTCCAACATGTTTGAGCCATGTGACGTGTGTGCATTGATTGAACTCTCTGTACGGCTTGAGGTCTCCTCCTGTTCAGTGTTAGCAAAGCAGGAACAGAAGACTATTCAGCCCTTGTTTGTCAGCATGTCAAGCCAGTCACGGCCGATCTTTTAATCTCATTTCCCAACTTTTCATCGTATAATAATAATAATCCTTGCATTTGATATAGTGCCTTATCAAGTATATTTTGTGGGCCAAACGCTGCAGCCAATTGCGCACAGCAGTGTCCCCAAAACAGTCCTGGATTAAGTAATCCCTGGAAAGCAATATGCCAATCGATTAACAACTGGGTTTCTGCTTACTGCTAGGTAAATAGAGGAGTGTGGAGCAAGAAAACTTGCTTAAGGTTTTGCCCTGCCTCTCGCTTGCAAAGTAAGTGCTATAACCAATACGCTAAAGGACTCCTCAAGGCAAGGATGCCTTAATAACCACTCTTTGTGCGTGTAGTGTGTGCGCGTGCATGTGCGTCGTTCTCTCTCTCTCTTTGTCTCTCTGTCTCCCTCTTAAACAAACCCTTCAATTCTGCACCCTCCAGCCCTCTGGGGCAGTGCATTCCACGTTCCCACAACCCTCTCGCCAATGATCTAATCAGGACTGAATTTAATAAAAAAAATTAAAGAAACTACCTGATTTGCTACTAAATTGGATAACAATTTGATAACAGCGATTGCGATCCTGAAGGCCATCTTGCACTGTTTTGCTTTCTGCATTCTTAGATGTTTTTTTTGGCCTTTTCTCAGCCAAGAAATGTTCTAAAAACAAATAGCCCATGACAATTTGTGCAGGACTAATTTCATCCCATTTCCCCTCACTAGCCCAGGGTCACAAAGGTCAAATATAGCATCCTTCCCTGGCTTTAAATGGTAGTAGTCTTAATAATAATAATTTGGTTACTCAATCCACGACTGTTTGTGGGATACTGCTGTGCGCAATTGGCTGCCACGTTTTGCCCACAAATTGTACAGTCAATTCACCTTACAGTATACGCTGTGAGGCGCTTTGAGAAGTCTCGAAAACGCAATAAGACGCTGTATCAAATGTAAGGATTATTATTATTATTAATCTTGTCTACGAGTCAGAAGGTTGTGGGTTCAAGCCCCATGTTGGTACTTTGAACTCACATAGTTTTGGCCGACACTACAGTGAACTGCTGGGAAAGCACTGCATTGTCGCAGGTGCCTTCTTTTGGATGTAAACCGAGGTCCTGTCTAACTACTCAGGTGAACGTTAAAGATATTGTGTGCGACTCTCAAAATGAGAAGGGAGTTTCTCCTGGTGTTTTGGTCAACAATCCCCTAAATAAAATTGGTCATTCACATCACGGCTGTTTGTGGGCTATTGTGAGACAACTGTCTGCCATGTTCGCTTACAGAATACAGTCACTATAATTTCCAGTGAAATATCCTGTGAAGCGCTTTGAGATGTCTTCCTGGTGTGAAAGGCGCTACGTGAAGTGCAAGAATTATTAATCATTATTTATTATTTATTGGAAGGGGCATATTTTGATTTGGGCACCGTTTTATTTCAGAGTCACCCTGCTGAGAGTTGGCTGATAATGATTTGCTTTCAACACCATTTCGAATCGCAACATTGCCAGGTTCATCTGAGGCATGAAGGAATGTTAACAAGATGATTAATAATTCAGTCATTTCAAGGAACAATTTTCCAGGCAATTCATCCTAACCTTTGGCCGCATTAAGGATTTTCCACTGGTTGAAGGTCAACTGAGTACAAAACACTAAGGCTGGCGCATGTCACTGGAGGCAGAGTTGAGAACACAGAGGGAGCTCTACCATGTATCTAAACTGTCCAGCGCCTTGGAACGTTCTCCCGATGTGAAAGGCGCTTTACAATGTAATTTTGTATTGTAATTTTGTGTTGTATTGTGGAAGTAAAAGATTTTGATAATGATGGTTAGGGTTAAAACAAGAATTCTGCAACAGTATTTAAAGAGGATTTGTGAGTGTCAGATGAAAAGATCTGCCATGATCTGATAAACTAACGGAATTGGCTCAATGGGCTGAAAGGCCTCTTCCTGTTTCTAAATTCCAGTACTCAAAGGGTTAACTCTCGTCACTGCATTTCAAGGCGATTATGGTAAAATCAAGTCAGATGTTTTGCTGGACAGATTTATTAGCAGATTAAGATGTCTGGGAAACAGGATGCTTTTAGAGAAAATGGTAAGAAAATCAAAGATTGGGAGCGAGTGCATTAACAGGCCAGGATAGTTCAAACCCACAAAAGGCTGAGGATGTTATATATTCAGCTATTACACCCCAACCATTTCGCCCATAAAATATACAGCCAATTCACTTTACAGTATATTCTGTATATTTGCACCTCTGTGCTTTTACTCCTCCATCTCGATAAAAACCTACCTCTTTGACTGCACTGACGATCACCTCCCTTCCCCCCCGCTCCCTTGCTCTGCATGTGACCCTGTCCCGGTAAAACTCTCTGAGACATTATGCTACATAAAGGGCTCTATAAAAACAAAAGTTATTGTGGTTCTTGGTTTCTTTCCAGACTTAAAATTGGTAAAACCCACAGTGGATTGTGGGTGTTTGCCTATAAGTACAAATTAATACACCTCACAGTTAGAGCCCTTGAAGTGCTTTGAGATGTTTCGATGACAATGATAAGGTGCTATATCAAATGCAAGCATTATCTTATCTTAAATCATGCTGCACTATTAAACTAACCCACTGACACTTTGACACTGGGCTGTCTCTTTGCTAGCACGTTCACGAAGCTCAGAGAGGAAACCTCCGCAATGAGCTGAGATCCCCGATTATCACAGTCTAAAACCAAGATCCCCACAAAGCGAAGGCTAATGGCTGGTTGAACGTTAAGCATCTGAGCAGTGATTTGTGAACTCCGCCGCTGAGAAATTGACCATTTGCATCGGACAACAGAAAAAAAAAGGCATCTTACTCTGAGGTTAACTTGGCCACCATGTCGCTGGAGGTGTATCCGGCCCCTGTGAAGCTGTCCTTGTACTGTCCGACGCGGACACCGTCCAGCCAGTCGCCCACAGAGCGGAATGCGCTGATGTCCGCGCTGTTCCGGTCAAGCAGCAGGTTTGACGGCCTAATTGGAAGGAAAGCAGGAAGGCAGGAGTGAGCGCAGAGCAGTTCTGCTGTGAAGTAACGCTGCCAGCACAGCGGGAGCTTCCAGGCTCCACGCAGCTTCTCAGCACAGCCGCAGAATTTATCTGCCACCGAGGGCTCGTATGTTCAATGCTGTCAGATTGCGGCAGCGACCGACCACTGTGCAGCCGTCATGCTTCAAGCTGACCAGCTTGTGCCTGTGCTGCAGCGGAGCAAAGGATCCAAAGGAGGACATTACCCACGCCCGACTGGACCGCAAACTTTTATCTTTCATTTCCCCCATATACGACGTATAATGATGTCAAACAAATCCCCGATAGGTCAGCCCTTTCCTGATGCCCCCCCCAGCACCCCCACCCTCCCCCACTTCCCCCCCCACAAAAAATGGGAATGAGCGAGTATCAGACCTAACAATAGAATCTTATGAAGTTAGTAGTTGATGCTCGTTGAATATATACTTAATAGAGAAAAGAGAAGGGGGTTTATCTCTACCGGTGTCCTGGCCGATAATCCCACAAATAAAATTGGTCTCTCGCTCCGTGGCTGTTTGTGGGAACGCCTACTGTACATAATCACATCAATGTACAGTGTCTCCTGCAAAGCTCTTTGACACATTTTGACAACATGATAAGGTGCTATATCAAATGCAAAAATTATTAGCAGTTGTATTACTTGCTATTGTTTGTTACAAGTGTGAGTGACTATCACGCTTGATGTCAATAAATGGGTTGAATTCTCATTCCTGAACATTTTTCCTTGCTTTTTCGCTTCTAAGACTGAAGCGATGGAGATGCTATAATTATTTGTGTGTGTGAGTATGGTTGGAGGCCGGAGAGGGAAGAAGGAAAGGAGAGAGGAGGTTAAATTAAATCTCCACTAGACTTTGCTGAAGACCCTGGAAGGTCGTTGGGCTGCCTAGTTTTTTTTTTAATATATAGATTTCTCACTTAAAAGGATCCGATAAGCAAATTTCCGCTTGACACACTGATTTTGCTGACCGGGAGGAATTTGCCTGTGTATTGCCCGCCAATATGGGCTGCAGGAAGCACTGCCCCCAGTAGATGCAGAATCAATTGGAGCTGTTTAAAAGGGAGATGGATAAGACACTTGGGAAGTGAGGGCATTAGGGGATATGGAGAAAAGTCATGGAAATAGGATTAAAAAGATAAAGAGCTGCCACCAGCTAATACAACGACAACAACAACAAAATTACGTTTATAGAGCGCCTTTCACATCGGGAGGACGTCCCAAGGCGCTAATAAAATGACAGTACAGGCTCGGTGCTATGTTCCAGTCACCGAGAGTTAAAATAAGTCTGTAGCTTACCCTGATAGCCCAGTGAGTTTATCCACAAGATCACAAGGTGAGTTCGGTTGAAGAAGGTACTTAGGCCCATCCGATCTCATCCCTTCAGAACATCCACCCTATCATTCCCCCATTGCAGCATTGTTTTGCCCACAAAATACACAGTCAATTCACGCTACAGTATATTCTGTGAAGCTCTTTGAGATGTCTCAACGATGTGATAAGAGGCTATATCAAATACAAGTATTATTAGTAATAATAATAATAGTATTATTATTGTGGAGCTGCTTTTAAAATGAGCAACCTGTTCCACTTGTTGATTACCCGCTGAGGAAAGATAAATTTCTTGGTGCTTGTCCTGAAATGGTCCTTTGCAACTCTACAACAACAACAACTTGGATTTATATAGCGCCCTCCACACCGGACGGCATCTCAGAGCGCTTTACAGTAACGGATCCCGGCGCTGAGCCAGGGGGATGGGGAGGAAGGTGACCAAAGGCACTGTTGAATAGAAAGAGAAACCCTTGTCCTCTTGTTCTACTATCTTTTAGATCCTACAGTGGTGACCTTGTTTACTTTTTCAATGCCATTTAAAACGTTATACATCTCTATGAGTCAGCTTCTCTCGAGACTGAAATCCAGTGGCTAGTTGGGTCATTACCGCCCAGCACTATAGGAGGATAAATTCAGCAATGGTAGTTTTTGAGTTAGATGATCTGAGTCAGGGCAGCATAGGGGTTCTGCAATTAACCTCAGCTCCTTCTGTTAAGCATGTGAAATTGGGACAGATTTCTGGTTAGACGCCAGGAAGTATTTCTTTTCCCAGAGGGCAACTCATGACTGGAACAAGCTGCCAAGAAATTGAGGGCAATGATGCTAGGCTCCACTTTCTGTGAAAGGATTGATTTCTAGACCCTCACACTCACATACAAATCATTACATGCCCAAGCACCTCCCTGCCTTTCTGACCTGCCCATTTTGCTCAGCTAACAGAGAACTGTCTTGTGTCGGCCGACCCCTTTGGGCCACCATAGGCAGTGCCTTCTATTGCTACATCCCTAACCCCTGGAGCCACCCTGGCTTAATCCCTCCACCTCACCCCCTCTATCCATCTTTAAATCTCACCTTAAGACCTACCTCTTCGATCACACCTATGGGCACTTCCTTTCCTTTTTTGCCCTTGTTCCTGCCACTGCATATTGCTCCGAGACACTATCTTGCTTGAGGGGAGTTGTATAAATGCACCCGTGACTTACTAGAACTTTAGAAGCTTGATCAATATTAACCCTATTGTTTAGACTGAAATCACTACAGGATTTCAATGGGTTAGTGGATGCTCCCTGAGGCTCTAGGCAGGATTAGGAAACAGTGCTAGAAATCAATGCTCCAATTTAAGTAATGGCTGATCAGTATCCTATTGAACTGTGCAATCCTATTCTGCTGCACTGATGACTCAGTTTCAATCCAGGCGGAAAGAATGAAGAACCTAATGAAAGTGTGCTACGTGGAGTCAATTTTTATCAAGAGACCTTAGAGGACTCTGTCTATAATAATAAACAATAATCCTCCTTACAATTGATATAGTGCCTTTCGCGTTAGGAGGATGTCTCAAAGTGCTTCACAGGATATACTGTAAGTGTCGTCACGGTGTGTTTGTAGGCAAACGAGACAGCTCATTTGCACATAACAATGTTCACAAACAGCCATGAAGTGAATGAGCAAATTATTATCATTATTTTTTTGGGTGGGGGGATAGCTGTTCACCAGGACATCAGGAGAAACTTCCTTCATTTTTTGAATAGTCTTATGGGATCTTTAACATATACCTGAACACGCAGAAAAGAACCTCAGTTTAACATCTTACCCACAGGACGGCACCTCTAACAATGCAATCCCCTCCTCCTCCACCACCTGCACTGCACTGAAGTGTCAGCCTAGGCTCTATGAGTACCAAGTCACAATGTGAGGGCTTGAATGCACAACCTTCTGACTTTGAGGCGAGAATGCTACCAACTGTCCCAGGCTGACCCATGTTTTCTTATAATTCCCTCAGCAACCCACAATTCAGAAGTTTGGTCTCAATTCCTGGCAAGTCCTAGTAGCACAATGAATTTAGAAAACAAGGTTGTGTAGGTAATCTGGATCCTGTTAAGTCCTGTAGCATAGTGGTTAGCACGTTCGCCTCTCAAGTGAGAGGACTTAGGTTCGATTCCTGGCGGGGTGGAATCGTAGGCACGTTTCCTTACTCCACATGCCTCTGTTGACTTAGCAGTAAGTAGGAACCCAGTTGCTAGTAAATTAATGGATCGCTTTTCAAAAAAAAAAATTGGTCACTTAATCCACGAATGTTTGTAGGACACTGCTGTGCGCAATTTGCTGCCACATTTACTAGGATTATTATTATTGTCTTAAAACAGGCAGATCCGTTGTATTCAAATGAACTAGTGAGCAGCTCAATCTTGTCCTAACCCATCGTCCACATGTGAGCACTTCTAGCGTTGGTCACTGAATAAGCATCAGGGGCAAGAAGCCTGGCCAAATTATCTCTACCGACTGACCTGGTATACTGAGCCCGGTTCCAATTGTAACACCACAAATGGTGTCCCAGTTGGGATAAAATAATTCAGCCCAGATCAAACCTGAGATTATGATGCTCTGTTGGGTTTAACTGCTCAGCCAACTTTCTCTATTTATGTGAAAAAACATACATTTGCATTATGTCTGAAACTAGTCGCAAAGCATCCTGTGACTGAGAATCAAGATGGGAGGCAATTGAAATGAAACCCCACTGGATTAATGGAGGTTTTTCCCTCTGCTTCCCGCAGACACAATGCTAACAGTCTACTTGACTCATGATGAGCAATGGACCGCATTTGTAAAACAGTTCCTAAGAGCTGTATATTAAGTGCTTCAAACTCGATCAGACGTGTGCTGCAACAGACCAATGGAAGAATTACAGGACAAGTTTTTTTTTAATGGTTCCCGCAGTGTGTATAAATTATATTCAGGTGAGGCTCACATATGAGTCCACTGTTTCCTGAGTCGCGCTCTCAGCCTCTGCTGGTAGCAGTATGTGCTCACTCAGCAAGCATCTGTTTCCTAAAGGACTTGATGCAAACTGAATTGCTTTGGTCTTTTTGCGTTCTCGTTGCCAGAAACAAGAATCTGTTCTCTTTTCTTATTCATTCCAGGTACCTTTGATTGCCACGTGCACATAAATTATAAATGCATTTGTTATAACCCTTAGACTGCTTCGCTGTGGGCCAGCCTACTTTCCTTCCACTTTTGTTTAAAAATAGCATTCAGCTGATACAATACAATACAAATTTACATTTATATAGCGCTTTACACGTCAGGAGGCTGTCCCAAGGCGCTTAACAAGCCTGGCTGGCATTTACCACCCCAGAGCTGGGGGTGGGAGCCGAGGGGGGTGGGGATGGGAAAAATGACCGAAAGCGCGGTCAAAGAGGTAGGACTTCAGCTGGATCTTGAAAGAGGTGAGGGAGGGAGCGAGTTGGAGGGACTCCAGGATGGAGTTCAAGAGAGTGGAGGTAGGTGGACTGAAAGCCTAAGTGGTGACAGTGGGGTGAATGGGGTGGGGGGCCATAAATCAGGTTGGTGGCCATTGAATGAACTGAATGGGCGGATTCCCAATATGTTAAATCACTCAAACACACCCCAACATTATGCCAGCGAAGCTGTTCGGATATCAAAGGCACGTTTGTTACTGTTGGGTGTAACCCTTTGGCTGCTGGCAGGATTTTATAGATTCTCATCTTTGTAGGCCAGCTGGTTCTGTATATTTTGCAGCTCCTGCGTTGTGAGACTAAAGCTCATGTCATTAATATAATAGTCACAAAGCTACGACAATATCAGACAAGCTTTAAGACTATAATATTAGCCCTGATCCACTCGGAAAACTAGCAACAAAAAATCTATTTTAAATAACAGTAATAAATTTTAAAAACCTCTACTAATCTCTACTCACCCTGTCAACACTTTTATTTTCTCTTACTCCTGCTCTCTCTCTCTCTCTCTCCCTGCATTATTTGCAATTGCTCACAAATCTTTCCAAAGGAAACATTACAGTAATAATAGTCCTTGCATTTGATATAGTCCCTATTCACATTATTGAGATGTCTCAAAGTGCTTCACAGGATTTACTGTGAAGTGTAATGACTGTGTATTGTGTAGATGAATGCAGCAGCTCAATTTGGAAGCTGGCTTCCAAATTAAACCTGAATTGAATAAAAAATACTGAAATTTTCAAAATAAAACTGCACAATCTTAAATTTTAAGCCAATGTTCTGAAGGCTAAGACCATGTGAGGGTTTCGAACCTCTGGAGAGCACATGTATATGGAAGGCAGAGCCGGATAGGTAGGGTCCAAGGTCAACTAGCCTGCCAACACTCACAGTCACTGGGGTAGGCTGACATGAAGAATAGTTACTTGGTTGGGGTAGGCAGATGCAGCCTGGCAATTGTATTCCTGCATCATGGATCTTTGCCTATAAAATACACAGTTTTTGCACTTTACAGTGAATCCTGAGTTGCTTTGAGATGGCTTCCCAATGTGAAAGGCGCTACATCAAATGCAAGGATTAATAATAATGATGATTCATCCATTTCATAATGTCTAAATGTCTCAAAATGCTTCTCAGGGAATTGCTAACTAATTTGTAGGCAAATGCAACAACCATTCTGCACACAGCAGGGTCCCACAAACAGCCACAGGGTAAAGGAACAATCAATCTGGAGGACAAACCATTTTGAGAAGCGTTGTGAGATCTTTAACATCCACCTGAACAGTTTAACATCTTACCCTAAGGATGGTAACCTTGTCAATGTAGCGTCTATCCCTTTACCCCATACCTAACTGCACCAGACTGCAATGTCAACCTTGCCTGGACCACAAGGTCAAGTTTTGATGTGAGGCACGAACTCACAACCCGGAAACCCAGAGGTGAGCGAGCTGCCAACTGAGCCAAGCTGACAATTTAGAGAGAAGAAGATGGCAGCAGGAGGGGGAGGGAAATGAGGAGGAGATGAAAACTGAGAAAAACAAATACCCCCATGACTTATGATGCTCCAGGTCACTTGAGTGAACATATGGCATGAGGCTAAAGTTGGGTGAACTTGTGAATGAAATCTAGGATTACCAGATTTGTGCAGTTTCCCCCCAGCGAATTCAAAGATATGAGCTGTTTCCCTCCTGAGGGAGGACATCTGGACAAGGCAGTATTCTGAAGGAATTTGGATCTGACTGTGAAGAGTCTGCAACGTCTCAGCATGAAACCCAGGGAACGGAGGTATTTCAGAACATTTACAGGCATCCCCATGTGACCCACATGCCTATTCGTGGCCCCGAACCCGCAATTTATTGGCTAGGTCACATGCCCTCTCACTCCTGACTGGAACAGGCAAATTAGGTGTGTTTATACTCTGCTGCGCTTACAAGGTGAGCTGCTGTCCTGCTGTTTCCTACCACATTGTTAATGCTTCTGGAAAATGACTAATTCTTCCTTTCATCAGACCAGACCCCAGTAAATCTTCACTGTGATGAGCGGGGAAAGTTCTAATCAGCTTGAGTTTCGTTCAGAACATCGACCTTTGGTTAAATATAATGGACCAGACAGACCTAAAATACGTGTCGGAAGCACACGTTCTGGTAACACAACCATAGTCATCTAAGGTAATATAGAATGTAATAATAATCCTTATATTTGATATAGCGCCTTATCACATAATTGAGACGTCTAAAATACCCCCATGACTTGGCGGATCACTTTATTACCCCCGAAAAGCAATCCGCCAAGTCATGGGGGTATTTTTTTCTCAGTTTTCATCTCCACCTCATTTCCCTCTCCCTCCTGCTACCACCTTCATCTCTCTAAATTCTCAGAATATACTGCAAAGTGAATTGACTGTATATTTTGTGAGCAAAATACGACAGGCAATTTGTGCACAATAGTGTCTCACAAACAGTCGTGGATTGAGTGAACCAAATTATGATTTTATTTATTTATTTTTCTGAAGCGATTATTACCCCCAAAAAGTGATCCGCCAATCGACTAACAACCAGGTTACCGACTTACCTGCTAGGTAAACAGAGGCGTGTGGAGTAAGGAAACTTGCCTGTGCACAGTGACTGCAGATTTACTCCCTTACACACTGAAGGTGAATAAATAATGAAATAAAACAAGAATCCTTGCATTTGACATAGCATCTTTCTCTTTGGGAGGAGGTCTCAATATGCTTCACAGGATATAGTGTAAAGTGTAGTGACTGTGTATTTTCTGGGGAAAGGTGGTAGCCGATTTGGGCATGACAATGCCCCACAAATAGCCATAAAGTGAACAACAAATTTTATCTGGGGGTTTATTGGCCAGGACACCAGGAGAAACTCCTTCCTCTTTTTGAATAATGCTAAGATCTTTAATGTCCACCTGAACAAGCAGATGAGACCTTGGTTTAACGTACCATCCAAAGGATGGCATCTCTTAACAATGGAGCGCTCCCCCACCACTGCATTGGAGTGTCGCTTAGACTATGTGAGATCAAAGAGCTGGGGCAGGGCTTGAACCCACACCCTTCTGACTCAGAGGCATTAGTCCAAGATGACACAAACCAATCCCAAGCTGCATTTTCCACAACTTAAACAGTTACAAATACGCGCCTATATTTGCTTGTCAAATACACGATTGTGGAGGGTGGGAGGTTAAGCGTGTGCAAAGAACCAGCTTCGGCGCCATAGAAGTTTGTGTTATAGAGCGACAGCACAAACAGGGTGTCACCTTGCTGCCGTGTTGGTGATGATCTTGAGGTTGCTGGGATTGCGGATCAGCTTGTCCAGGATGCTGACAATCTGCTCGAATTTGGGCCTGTTGTTCCTGTCCTTTTGCCAACAGTCCAGCATCAGCTGATACAGGGCAGCTGGGCAGTCCATGGGGGGTGGCAGCCGATAGCCTTCGTCGACCGCTTTAATTACCTGGACGACACAGTTAAGAGAGAGAAAAAAATAGAAGGTGGATCACTCCGTCACTCCTGAGCCCTGCTCCTTGGAGGAGAGGGTTATTATTAGTAAATGAGAAACAGGAGAGGAGAATGGGGGGGGGGGGTAAAGTCTGAGGAATTGCATCACATTATGGGAATTAACACAAGGAATGCAAAAATGTTAATAAGCGCCACAAAGTTATCACTATTATTAATAATAATACTTGTATTCGATTTAGCACTTAAAAGTCAAGAATGTCTCAAAGCGTTTAACAGGTAAATCGCTGCGAATGACTGTGTGTTTTGTGGACGAATGTGGCAGCCAATTTGCATATAGTAATGTCTCGAGAACAGCTATGAAGTGAACGACCAACTTTATCTGGGGAATTGTTGGCCAGGACACTGGCAGAAACTCCCTTCTCTTTGCGAGCAGCGTTGCAGGATCTTTAATGTCCCCCTCAACAAGCAGACGGGACCTAGGTTTAGCATCTCACCTAAAGGACGAGGCTCCTCTCGCACTGCACTGGAGTGTCAGCCAACTCTGTAAACTCAAAGCCCTGACCTTTAACCCTCTGTGTGCCTAGTATGATGGTGGTGAGACAGAGGAGTGAAAGGGACAGGGAGAGCCTTTGGTAAGAGATGCTTGTGAGATCGCAGCCCCGCCCAGCAGAGATAAGAATAATCCTTGCATTTGATATAGCACCTTGTCGCATCTTCAAGACAACTCAAAGCGCTTCACAGAATACACTGTAAAGTGTAGTGTTTGTGTATTTTGTGGGCGAAACGCGGCAGCCAATTGCGCACAGCAGTGTCCCACAAACAGTCGTGGGTTGAGTGCATGAATAGATGGTGCACAAATGGACAACACACTTAAGAGACTGCTTTGCCCCACGAACCAGACATTTGCAACTAAATGGAGTTACATTGTTCTTTGCTAAATTAAAAATAATTTGACCGCTGGGAGGAGAACCTGGATCCATTTGGACTGAGGTTCAAACCTGTCTCAGATACGGATCGGATGGGCTACGCTTTGGATTCTGGAGTTAAACTGGATTCGTATTCCAATAATCGGCAGTTCAGAGGTAAACGCTGAGCCCACTATCAACTGGCAGGAAAAATAAAATCACAAATAGATGCACGTACATGAATACAAATGAATAAATTCGCATTCAGAAACGGCTGGGTTGCTCGCTGCCCACCCGATCTACCTGCTGAGCTCTGAGCTGCTGTTAGGATTGAAGGGGGAAGAGCAGTCAGCATAGGGCTGATGCAAATACCACCTGATGTCAATCTCCTATGTATTTCTAGGGTGGGTGTTGGGGGAGGACGGGGTGAAGGAACCTTTAGCCCGTGCTGAGGTCTGGTAATGTAATACTGCTCACAGTGAATTCACTGAAGTTGGGCATAGCCCTGAGAGATCTGATTTCTGTTCAGCTTGTCACCTTGATGTAAAGTGGCTTGTGCACTTGGGGTGGTGCAGTATCACTGGGATAATTTGACACCGTGCTACGTTAAAGGCATTTATTGAATTTCAAGTCGTTCTTACTAAGGGGGCACCAGCACTGAGCTGAGAGATATTGTGAGCAGAAAATAGGTCTGGGACATGGACTATTTTCAAAATACAGCTCCGCTCTAATAACAAGCACAAAAGGTTTTACATTGCGCAAAGAACCAAGGGAGTAAACTCCACCTGGGTCTAGATTTCCTCCAGTAACCGAGCATTTCAGTGTGAACCACAATTTGAAAAAATCTGCAATACGTTCTTTCATTTCGAAACTGGCAATTCTGTAAGTTTCTTTTAAGGAATTACAAAACACAAAGGCTTCAAAGTTAAGATTGAATTCAACAATTTGACAGATTCTCTAAAGCGCTACACACGGCAGAGTGACTCTAGCACCAGGTGGAATTGTTACCCCATACACCTGCTGTTGTGTGCGCAAATGAGCTGTTATGTTTGCCTGTACAAATACACAGTCACTACAGTTTGCAGTATATTCTATCAAGCGCTTTGAGACCCCTCTAATCCCCCAGTGCCCCCCACTTCCAGCCACCCTAAATGAAAGGCGCTGTATAAATGTAAATTGTGCTGTAATTGTTCCACTCACATCCTGATTGGACATCTCCCAGTAAGGCCTCTCGCCGTAAGACATCACCTCCCACAGAACAATGCCGTAACTCCACACGTCACTCGCAGAGGTGAACTTGCGATAAGCAATGGCTTCCGGTGCAGTCCATCGGATCGGGATCTTTCCTCCCTACAAGAGGCACAAGAAGATTATTCCTCAATAGGTGACATTGTGAGACATTGTGAGACATTGTTCGGTCGCTGCTTGAACCTGGTTGCCCAGACTGTGCATCGATACGCTGATAGTGAATAGCACGACAGTATCAATGCAGTCATCTTTCAGACCGACGGGAGAACCATGATGCTCTTCACTAAAAATAGTCATTAGCTTGCTAAACCTTTACAATATGAAATCACAAATAGAAACATACAGCAAAACCATTGTTACCTGCAGTGAGGAACATAAGATAGACCTCATCGTCTAAAAGCTAGCTCCCAAAGACAATTGTAAGACTGGTGTAAGACGATTCATCAAGTTATATGACAAATTCCTGTAAGTGCTTTGATTTCCTGTAACTGTTTTGAGACATTTCTATAATATAGATGCCATATAAAATGTAAGGATTATTGTTTTTTTTCGGTCAGCCAGTTATCTAATAAATGTGTAAACTCATCACAATTAAAATTATTCAAACCAAACTGAGAGTTCCATATACGTATGGCCACTTACACACAGAGATTTCCCGGTGTCCGGAATGGAGGGCGCACTCTCTCCCCAGAGGGAGGCACCCTGCTCACCTAATCCCAGAGAGTATTACGTGTGAGAGCCAAGGCTTGGGGGCCCGAAAGTATGCATTAAGAGCCTGGCTGGAGTTTAACCTGCTAAACCCACACAGCGTGCCATTGAGTGCACTGTCTGGCAAGCTTCCTGCTGCTTGTTCAGCTAGGACCACCCTACAAAGTTGGAGTTTAGCTTGGAGCGTTAAGCAGCTGAGTGGGAAGAATCCCTGTCCCCAGTGTTATTATATTCTCTATTATGTTGAACATTGCAAGCAAGAAAGTGGAAACCTCAGGGGACCCCTTCTCGGAGGAAGAAGCGGTTATCTTAGCCGACTGTTTTCATTCAATTCCTCTTGTGCTTAATTAGGAATTATGCTCCAAGCCATTGATCCAACACAGGGCGCTGACCAAGAACAACATGGTCATGTGCCCAGGGACGACAGACAAATTGGAAAATTGAGCAAGCTAATAAGATCCCAATGTACAGCTGCCGGAATTTTACCAGAGCCCAGTACTAATAATCAAGACTTCTCAAAGCACTTCACAGTGACTGTGTATTCAGAGCAGCAAGTTTGCACAGAGCGATGTCTCACAAATAGCCGTAAAGTGAATGCTTGATATTATCGGGAGGATTGTTGGCCAGGAGAGAGGAGAGAGTTCTTTGTCATTTCTGAGTAGTGCCGTAGGATGTCTAATGTCTTCCTGAACAGACAGACGGGACCTCAGTTTTACATCTCATATGAAACGCCGCCTTCTCCGACAACATGGCGCTCCTTCAGCACTGTATTGGAATGTCAGCCGAGCTCAAAGTCCCGATGTGCAGCTTGAACCCCAAAATCTTCTTTCTCAGAGACGAAAGTGCAACAACTCCCCCCCAAAAATTGATCATTCTCTTCATGGCTGCTTGTGAGGACATTATTGTGTGCAAACTGGCTGCTGCGTTCACCTACAAAATGCACAGTCACTACACTTTGCAGTATACCCTGTGAATCACTTTCAGACGTCTCAACAATGTGATAAGGGGCTATATCAAATGCAAGGATTATTATTACTATTATTAAAATCCTGTGAAGAGTTTTGAGACGACTCAACAACATGATAAAGTGTTATTTCAAATGCAAGGATTAACTGTGTGTGAGCTTGAGATGAAGCAGTAAAAGAATGCCGTTAGTGTAATTTTATGGTGAGAGAGAACACACATAATAGGTTTTACACTCACGCTGATTGGAAGTGCCTATAAAGAATTTCATTCCACAGAAAGTAGTTGTAAACCACGCCTCCACCATCCCTTCTCACATGCAGCGAGTAGCAGGAACAAGGACATTGTTGTTGAGCTATAAAATATTACCTTTGTGTTTATAGGGAATAGCCAGCATGTTAAGCAAATATTGCCTTTCATACCATTGAATCTTGAACAATAAATAACTCATTAATAATGTAGCACTTGAAGAAGCACATTAAGAGAAGCGATTGGCAATGGGCACAAACGCAGTTCAGTGCTATGAGTAGGATTAGAATTTGCCTTGTGTCAAATAGGGTGCTGCTCCATATTGCACAGCCACTGTGTGCTATCTACAGTGGGCAACGCTATAATAATAATCCTTGCATTTGATACAGTGCCTCATCACGTCATTGTAAAGTCAACTGACTGTATATTTTGTTGGCAATTGCGCGCAGTAGTGTCCCACAGATGGTGGGATTGAGAGATTATTACCCCCGGAAAGGTTCTGCCAATTGACTAACTAGGTTCCTACTGACTGCTAGGTAAACAGAAGTGTGTGTAGCAAGGAGACTTGCCGAAGTTTTCATCCCACACTGGCCTCTCACTTGTGAGGCGAGCGCACTAACCACTACATTACGGAACTCCTATTTCTAAGGTAGAAGTGCAACCATTATACCGATTCCCCCCAATATCTTAGTGCTCTTTTCTCCATTAACGCCCAGTAAACCCTTGGCTACGACAGTCATATAAACTGGCCTAAGTTACAAATACAGAGTCACTACACTTTACGGTGAAATCATGGGAAGTGCTTTCAGATATTTTGACGAAGTGATAAGGTACTATAATAAATGTAAGGATCATTATTATTATTATAATATTGAACATGACTATACAGAACCCGATGTGCGTGTGCAGTCTACTTTTACCTGTTGTGAGGTTTATATCTGAACTACTTAATACTGTAACAGCACCAATTTCAGGCAGCTGTAGATACTCAGTGCATCAAATTATCAAAATTATCAAGGGATTCTTTCATTTTCTCTCTCTCGCTCTCAATCCAAGTCTGAATATTTTATCTGCAATTAGCAGGAACTTCCAACGATTTACATAAACTGTACAGAATGGAAACAGGTCATTGAGCCCAACCAGTCAATGCCAGTCTTTATATTCCACATGAGTCTCCACCCGTTCCTTACTCCCTCCCATACCCTTCTATTCTCCTCTCCCTCATGTGAAGGTCTAGCTTCCTCTTAAATGCATCTACACTATCTGATTCAGCCACCATTTCAGGCAGCGAAGTCCAATTTCTCACTAACCTCTGTGTGAAGTTGTTCCTCCTAAATTTTCTTTTAGATCCCCTAGTCGCTATCTTATACTTGCGCTCTTAGTTATGGACTGCCAAATCAGCGGGAACAGCCTACTTATGATAACATTATCAAACCCTTTTATAATTTTAAACACCTCTATTAGGTCCTCCTTTAAATATCTCTTCTCTCGCGAAAAAAAGGCCTAACCTAGCCAATTCATCCTAGTATGTCACATTCCTTTTAGAAGCACCATCTAGTTTCTTCTGTCTCCTCTCCGTGGCTGTTCTGTGTCACCTTTTTTGTCTGCTTTATTTCCATCCTCTTCTGTGGTCCTAATTCTGAAAATGTGGCATCATCCTTGAAAGTTGTAGGAAACGTATCTGAATCTAAACTCTCCAACCCCCTCAAACTCTACCAATTCCCTCCTCAATGTTCAACTCATATCTGGGACACATGTTGGGATAAAATTTGAGGTACTCCTTATGAGCGTCAGCATAAAGTAACTCACTGTAATGCACTGCGCAGCCAACAGGTGGCAGTGCTCTCTTCCCCCACTGGTCTTGACTTTCCAACCGCCATTTTGTTTGCCTATGATATTTTTTATATCAAACTGTAGCCTCCAGAGAATACGGCAGGCAATATCTTTTTTGGTTTAATCGTTGTTTCCTGAGCTGTATCTGGAAATATTATTTCACAAGATCGCAAGATTGGTTCAGATGAAGAAGGCCCTTTGGCGCATCTGATCTCACCCCTTCAGAATATCCACCCAACCTTCCCTCCCATCACAACATCAAGCTATTTTTTTTAAATGGGTCCCATCGTCCTGGCCTCAACCACCATTCCTGGCAACCTACCCTCTGTGATCAGAAATATTTCCTGGTATCCATTCGAGCGAGTATCTCACGCTCTGCTCAACATGAACCTCCTGAGTGCTTGATTTCACAGTACATGCCACAAAGTGCAGTGACAATTGACACCGATGTTACTTCATCAAAGTATAACTGAAGGAATACTGCAAGCTTCACCCCTGTAGGGCTGTCACATAATAGGCAGAATAGTCAGTGTCCCCGCATGGTAATAATAATAAATAATAATCCTTGCATTTGATACAGTGTCTTATCACATTGTTGAGACGTCTCAAGGCACTTCACAGAATATTGTAAGTGGATCTGACTGTGTATTTTGTGGATGAATCGCCAATTGTGGACAGCAGTGTCCCACAAACAGTCGTGGATAAGTGACCACATTTGTTTTTGAAGGGATTGGTATCCCCGGAAAGCAATCCGCCAATCGACTAACATCCGGGTTCCTACATACCGCTAGGTAAACAGAGGAATGTGGAGTAAAGAAATCTGCCTAAGGTTTGGCCCTGACTGGGAATTGAACCAATACACTAAAGGTTCCTTACCCGTGTGGTATATGCAGCTTCAGGGTCGTCCTCAAGGACCCTGGAGAGCCCGAAGTCAGACACTTTGCACACGAGGTTGCTGTTGACTAGGATATTGCGAGCAGCCAGGTCGCGGTGGACATAACCCATGTCTGACAGGTACTTCATGCCAGAGGCTATCCCACGGAGCATGCCCACCAGCTGGATAACTGTGAACTGCGCATCGTGTTTCTAAAAGGGAAAGGTGGATTATCAACATTAACAACCACAACGCATTGCATTTATCTAGTACTCTTTAGGTCAGGAGGACATTCCAAAGTGTTGGACAGTGAAGGATTTGCACCCAAGCTGGGGTTTAGACTAAAGAGTGGTGGAGGGTAGTGGAGGTGCGAAGATGACCGAAGGCGTGGTCGGACAGGAAGGTCTTGAGACGGGCCTTGAAGGAGGCGATGGAGGGGACGAGGTGGAGGGATGGAGTTCCAAAGGGTTGGGGCAGAAAAGCTGAAGGCCCGACTGCCGATGGTGGAGGGGATGTGGAGCAGGACAGAGTAAACACTCAACAACTTACATGTATACAGCAGTCTACACGGGTAGCGTCTCGCAGCAATGAACAATGGCGCGGGGGTTTGACACCGAGCCAGGGAGAGACGGGATGCGATGGTAAGCATGGTCGAAGAAGAAAGTCTTCAGGTGTGATCCAAATATGGGCAAAGAGGTGGCAAAGCAGAGCAACCAAAGCAGGGGATTCCAGAGTTTAATCTTTGAGTCTATCTTAAACTGACCGAGTAGGAAACAACTATTTGACAAATTCCATTGGAACCACCTGGTGTGGTCCACCACACTTCACTTACCCGCAGAAAGCTGTCCAAGGAACCATTCTCCATGTACTCTGTAGCAATCATCACTGGCTTGCCTAAGAGCAACACAAACATTATGGTTACAGGTTTAAATTGGACGGCTGTAAAAGCAGACCATAAAAAGAAGGAAACACGCTTTCCAGAAATGGAGCCCTAGAAATATACAGGGCACGAATAGGGAGGCCATTCAGCTCACTGTTGGGTCTTTGAAAGAACTTTCCATTAGTCCTATTCTCTTACCTTCCCCACCTCCCTCCCCGCACATGCGCACACACCTCTGTACCCCTTTATTTTTCTCCACATAAATGTTTATCTAATTCGCTCTTAAAAGCTAATGGAGATTTTGCCTCAACCGTGCTTCCGGGTGTCAACCCCATTAGTGCATGCCCCCTGCCAATGAAGCACGTTGGACATGAAGGCTGGCGATACAATGCCAAGGAGAGCAGCTGCCTTACTCTTTGTGACCACTCCTTCCAGGTGAATGATGTTGGGATGGTCAAACTGCCCCATGATGCTGGCTTCACTCAGGAAGTCCCGCCTTTGTTTCTCCGTGTAACCAACTTTGAGGGTTTTGATGGCCACCAAGATCTCCTTTTTGGACGCCAACCTTAGTCGCCCGCTGCACACCTCCCCGAACTCACCTGCAAACCAAGCGACAGATGCTGTGACCATAGTTTGCAAGCAAAGTGCAGAGACTCTGAGTGACAACAACAATAACAACAAAATGGCATTTATAGAGCTTCTTTCACGTCGGGAGGACGTCCCAAAGCGCTGAACAGTCAGGTGTCAGGGCCCGCGCAATGGGGGAGGGGTGTTGTAGAGAGGAGGGAAGGCAGAGAGGGAAGAGAACCCTGGCAGTAACAGGAAATGACCTGATGCTAACCCATGACATCCTCAAGATCTACTTCTGGGTCATCACAGCGAGGGCCCGCAAAAAGCCATGAAGTGAGTGACCAAATTTTTAATCTGGGGGCATTGCCAGTAAGGACACTGGAGAGGAACTCCCTTCTCTTTTCGAATAACACCACAGGATCTTTAATGCCCACCTGAACAGGTAGACGGGCCTCTGACAATGCAGCGTAGCACTGGAGTGCCAGCGTAGACCTGACTTGGGGCTTCAACCCACAACCTTCTGAATCAAGAGGCGAGAGTGCTACCTACCAACTGGGGCAAGCTAAGTATCAAAACAGTTCTGTGTTTTTTTGCAAATGTCGCAAAGGATTTAGCCGCAACAGTGAGAGCTGAAACTTACCCGAGCAATCAATTTGGGGGGTGGGGGGTGGGGAGGAGGAGAAGGGAACTCCCATAAAGCAAATACCTACCCAGTCCCGTCTCCCCAACGTTGAAATGTGCTACGTTAAATGCAAGGATATTATTATTATTATTGCTGTATTGTAATCTGCTGCCTGGGGGCTCGCTTTGTCTGTACAGAAAGGTTAATGGTTGGATGACTTTCGGATTCATACAAACGACCATAATTTCTGGGTTAATTGCTTGTAAAGAGGTAATTGGCTCATTAGCTGATACAGATGATTTGCAGTCACTTAATGATCATACAGAGGGTTTAATCATACCTGCCCCAACAACCTTATCGATGGCAATGAAGGAACAGTCCAACTCCTTGGCAAACTCGTGCACTGCTTGGTTGGGGTCCTCATACGTGTGGGGATCCACATACGTTCGGAGTCCAGGAAGTTTGACTATTAATATGAAAATCAAAACGTTACTGCCCGACTTTGCTCAACATCGCTGCTAACACTATGGTTTGTACATGTTTCGCAGAGAGACTTGATACAAGGTCCGATGATTATTGATTTCACCTGTGTGTGAGTGATCACTGTTAATCTGACTCTTGCACGTGTGTTGTGTGTGTGTGTGTGTGTCACCAATATCGACTTGACTTTCTCGCACGTACATGTCACCAATATTGATCTGGCTCTTGCGCATGTGTTCTGGTGTTCTGATGTGTGCGTGCGCGTGTGTGTGTGTGTGCGTGTGTGCGTACACGTGTGTGTGCATGTGTGTGTGCATGTGTGTGTGCGCGCGTGTCACCAGTATTGATCTGATTCTTGCGCACGCGTTCTGGTGTTCTGGTGTTCTGATGTGTGTGTACGTTTGCGTGTGCAGGTGTGTGCAGGTGTGTGCGTGTCACCAGTATTGATCTGACTCGTGCCTGTGCCTCTATAAAGTGATGTGGTCACATTTCAGGTTCTCTTATGTTTCAAATTATGCTTTCTGCTTTTTTATATGAAAAAAGAAAATGATTGCTTCTCCACCCTCCGCTCTTAATTATTTTCACCCCTTTCTGTTCCCACTCTACTCACGAGGGTCTAATTTGTGATTCCTGTGGGAACACTGCTTCGGACGGACGGAATGAAGTTAGCGTGATATGTACATGTACTTATCAGAAGGAGTCTCCATTTGCGTGAACTCCAGTGTAACATGTCCTTAGGGGGTCTTGGTGCAAGAAAAGTTTAGGCGCCCGATTCTCAAAATTAAAAATATGGCTCAATTTTTTTTGGGTGTAGGGTGGGGGATGGGGGGAGGCAGAGTTATGTTTCCACTCCCACGACATTCAACCACGAATGGATTGGGCCCCCTAACCTCGTGTCCCTAACGTGACTGTACCTTTGTAGTTACGACATGGTGTGACTCAGATTCCTTATTAAGAAATCCAGCTGAGAAACACCGCAATTTAGAGGCAATCACTTTCCATCAGGTGAGCTCCTACTGCTGCCTTTCTGTAAGTAACCTGCTGGAATCTATGTAAGAGCTTCTCATAACTTAACCTCTCTCTCGCTCACATTCTCTCCCCACTGGGAAGCTCCATGGTTCAATCCGCTGTGTTCTTCAGGTGTTCTGACGGCCTTCAGGCACTAAATATGTTAATGTTTGAGTGTGTTAGTGCAGAGTCGCACCACGGAATCAAATCCCTGGGGTTTCTCAATTCTAAATAATACCCAGGAGCTTATTAGGAGAAAGTAGTCCATAGCAGAAAAGAGTGAGAAGTTGTCAAAACAAAAACATTATTTAATAGCAATTTCGGGCAATGTTGTAAATGTCTAAAACTAATTTTAAAAATCCTCAGTAAGTGTCGTTTTCAATAAATGTATTAGAAAGATTGCATCAGTTTGCAATATCTCTAAAGGCACAAAAAAACCAGCCAGTTATTAAGAGCTGACGTTCAATGTGTTCGAATAGAAATAATTTATTGCAATATAATGTTGTCAAGTACTTACTGTGGCCGTTCGGGTAATGAATCCTTTTGTCATCCGAAAGATGCTTTGATTTGTTGTATCCACAAAACCTGCATAACATAACAACGATAAAGAGCAAAGGGTCTCAGTTGTCAAGCAAGTCTCCATTTCACTGCATCAAAACATTTAATTTCCTTCACACACACACAAGCGCACAAAAGCATGCACACATGCGGCAGTCGAATATTTTATGAATATGAATGAAATGTTCCTCAGATGCACGGTGAAATGTTTCTTATACAGACTGATAATGTTTCTCCCACAAAAAATATACGGTAGGGTCTAAATCCCTGACTGTCCAGCACCTCGGGATGTTCTCCCGACATGAAAGGCACTATACAAAGGTAATTTTGTACTGCATTCTATTATACAGTCACTTTAGAGTATATTCTGTGGAGCACTTTGAGACGTCTCAAAGACGTGATAAAGCACTATATCAAATGCAAGGATTATTATTATTATTAAAAGGAAGGTAGGAACATCATCAAGTTTTCTAAAATCTGATGCGCTCCTACTCAGAACTGACATCCCTTGGTTTGAGGGAAAAGCGCACAGGAAGTTGTGGCTTAGACCCAGAGCACAGGAAAGAAAGCAGAACTGACCTCCCGATCACGATGTAGGTCACCACGGTGAAGAGGACGATGGCGATGGCTGTGGAGATGGCGATGATGACAACCTGGCTGTTCTCGCCGGCAATGGAGAAGGCTGAAACCGAAAGAGAGCCATTGAGCTGGGAGACCGTGTACAGGCAATTGGGATGTGCCCAGCCAATGCAGAGGATATTCTTTGCAATGGTGAGATAGCAAGACTTTGATCTCATCAAAACGTTCAAATGGCACCACGACTGTTTGTGGGGACCGTTCTGTGAAGCGCTTTAAGACATCTCAAAGACATGATAAGGCACTATATCAAATGCAAGAATTATTATTATTGTTATTATTAACATAATGTGTGAAGAAAGTGAGACTTGGTTGGCTCATAAACCAAGAACTCAGGTGCAAAGCCAAGACCGTTAAGCACCTTGAGATGTCCGCCCAACATGAAAGATGTTACATAAATTTGTATTGTGTTATATTTGTTGCCGTTTCCATACCTCCATTACGCTCGGGCAGGGCCGAATAGCCTCTTTTAAGTGCATTCCATTGAACAATTTGCTAACACAACGGAGGGAGGAAACACCAGAGAAAGCCATTTATTTTGGCTAAAAAGCAAACCGCAGTTGTTACTCACAGTCGGGGCTGGTCTCGAACTCAAACTTGCGACTGATCGACCCATAGCCGGCAGCAGTCCGGGCCCTGATCTGGAACAGGTAGGTGGTCTCAGGTTTCAGCCCATTGATGGTGACGTTGGTTTGTTTTGATCTCATTATAGTGTAGCTGGTCTCCTGTTCCTGCTTTAAGGCAAAACGAGACACAGAATTCGCTACGATTCACTCTTTCTTCTATGTTGCAATGTTTGGCAACACCCTCAATTTAAAGATTTTACTGTCTCTGCCTGTGTGCTTGTGTGTGTGTGTGAGGCATGTGCATGTGTGTATGTGTGCATCTGATCCTCTATCTCTCAAACTGTTCTATGATAATTATAATAATCCTTGCATTTGATATAGCGCCTTATCACATCATTGAGATGTCTCAAAGCTCTTCACAGAATATACTGTAAAGTCTATATGTGGAGTCCTGTAGCTCAGTGGTTAGAGCACTCGCCTTGCAAGCAAGAGAACCTGGGTTCGATTCCCAGGCAGGGCGAAATATTGGGCAAGTTTCCTTACTCCACACGTCTCTGTTTACCTAGCAGTACGTAGGAACCCGGTTGTTAGTCGATTAGCGGATTGTTTTTCTGGGGGTAATAATCCCTTCAAATTAAAAAAAAATGGTCACTGAATCCACGACTGTTTGTGGGACACCGCTATGCGCAATTGGCTACCGCGATTCACCCACAAAATATACAGTCAATTCACTTCAGGGTATATTAAGTGAAGCGCTTCAAGATGTCTCAAAGTCATGATAAGACGCTATATTAAATGCAAGGATTATTATTATTATTAAAGTGAAAGTCACTATATATGTAAATTTGCATTTTAATGGGGAGGGTAAATAACCCCCATATTCCCTGGATAGTTACCCCTTCTCTCCTGGAGGCCTGAGATTCCACCTAGTCTTAGACTATGAAACCATGTTGCCTTACATTGTTTAGAATTGTGGAAAAAATCTTGAATCCAACTTTAATTTGAAAGCTGGAATCTCTGTGGAAATGGTGTCAAAATGCAGGTGGAGTATAGGGACTTTTGCACAATTCTGGATGATTTATAAATTTAATGCCAAGCAGTGTTAAGACTAGGGCTAGACCAAACTTGGAGCCTATGGAGACGGTCACTGGGCTGGGCATTTGCACTTTATCCAAGTAGCTGTTCTTTAACAAGGAACCTGAGTACTGAATATCAGTAAGGTGTAGACCATGGGAGACACGACAGGACAGCTGAGTCAGACTTGTCTACAGCTGTCTACACACATGCACTTCCAGCAGGCATTACTGGACAGTGACCAGCAGCAGGAACCTTGGCCAAATTAACCCTTCACTAAACCTGCTGAGTCTACTTGCAACATACAATTGACAGTCTGGCCAAGAATGGGCCAACTGAGCAGCTGAATGTGAAGTTTTCTTGGCTCAGTACAACATCACATAGTGCAATTGAATTTACATAAGAAAATAAGAATTTGCTTGACAAAAGAAGACCTGTCAGTCACTTGACATGTCGTGTCCCAAACTATATGTTGTATAGTTCGGGACACGACATAGTTTGGGTCAGAGAAGGAAAAATAATTTGGATAAGCAACGATGCCAACTAACATGCCAGTGCAAATTCCCCCATCACCACCACCACCCTCTCCCCGCTCTCCCACCCACTCACACTCCCCACATTAGTCATCCTTATGTCCTTATACCTGAACGCCACTTCCAATTTATTCCCAACTGTGTGGCCACTTCTATGCCATGGGCTCAGGTCCAATGTGATCTGGGCTGGGCACTGCACAAATGTATTGAGTGCAACCAGCAGAAAGAGGAGTCTTTCTCTCCAGGGGAAGACACATAGGGGGTAGAAAATCCATCTGAGTCTAAATATACTTTCTCAGCATTTCAGCGTGTCCAGAATTCAGCAAATGTTTAAATATGGGCGTTACTTTTGAAGTCAGTTCTCTGTAAGTCCTTTTAAGAAACTGCAGAAAATGCCATTTCAGATTTATGACTGAATTCAACCACTTGTCAAATTCTGGCTGCTCCGAAATACTAGGACAATGGAGCAAATCTTGCCCAGGTAGGATTTCTCCCCCATAGTTGACAGCAAACTAAACTCAACGGAGAAAGCCTTGTTATTTCATTAAACCTCACTGATAATACTTCTTCCATTTCCTCTAACCGTAGGCTTTTGTAATAATAAGTGCAGCTACGATATTAAATTCAAGTATCATTCCATTGCAGAGTAGTTCGTGTAATTACAAGCTATTGTAGTCTATTTACAGTGTTAAATCATAAACTATATGGAAAAGTTAATATCTTCCGATTATTTTGCTATTCCTTTCCAAGGTGTTAGTGCTGAAATCTGAGGCTTGCTGGAGATTATAAAATAATAAGTAATAATCCTTGCATTTGCTATAGCACTTTTCACATCTTCTAGACCTCTCAAAGCGCTTTGCACAATATACTGTAAAGTAAATTGACTGTATATTTGTGGGTGAAACACGGCAGCCAATTACGCACAGCAGTGTCCTGCAAATAGTCGTGGATTGAAGTGACCAATTTAATATTTTTTTTTCTTGAGGGATTATTTTCAGGCAAGTGGAGTAAGGAAACTTGCCCAAGGTTTCGACCTTCGAACTCAGGTCTCTTGCTTGAGAGGCGAATGCTCTAAACACTGAGCTACAGGACTCGATTATTTAAGACATAAAATCACCTGTGTAATTTCAAAAGGAAATAGCTTGCCCCAATAGATAAAGGCACCGTAGCACAAAGGCATATGGATCAGAAAACAACTGAACCTTGAATCCTGGTATTAGCCGGGCCAACATTTTGGTGTTCAGCAGACGGAGCAGGAAATCAGGAAGGATTCTTGCTCCCAATCTCCATCCGGACATCACAAAATCACAGGATTGTTTCAGATGAAGCAGACCCTTCAGCCCACCTGATCTCATCCCTTGACAAGACCCACCCTAACTTCCTCGATCACAGCATCGAGCTGTTTTTGAAATGTGTCGCAGTGTCTTGACCTCAATTACCCTTCTTGGTAACCTGCTCCAATTGTTAATTACCCTCCAGGTAAAAAAACAACTTGGTTGTGTTTGTCTTGAAGTTGCTCTTTGAACATTACTTTTTTCAAAGCGCTAATATAAGACAAAGACACTCTCCTTACATCTGATTCCAAATCCAAGACCACAGCTCCAAGCAAATTTTTTTAAAAAGAAAGACTGAATGTATTTTTTAACTTAAGAAAAGACATAAAATATTCCTACAATTTCAGGGAGAAATCTGATCAACAAGCCACCAGCTCTTCTAACAAACAAAATTATACATGAAAGTAATTCCCTGCCCTTTACTTTACAAATTCCTTGAATGCACGACAGGTTAGCTCTGAGCATCATTTCGATTAATTCTGTTCACTTGCATTTAGGTTAGCTCTGAGCATCATTTCGATTCATTCTCTTCAATTAGACTCAACACTTGATCATTGTCCCACCTTCTCGTAGAACTTGACCTCGTAGTCCAATATGATCCCATTAGGATGCTCTGGCTCCTGCCAAGATAAGGCGATGGTATTTCGGGACATCCTATCCTTCTTGACAACTGTAACTGGTGACGGAGCTGAGAAAGAGGAAACAGAATTTTTAAAGCATTTTTTTCCCAAATTTCAGGCCCGAGAGGAATCATTTTCTGCTTATAGCGAAAAACAAACAGGTGTAGCGCTTTGTTTGAAATCACTGGGTGGTGAATGATAACCTCAAAGAATGATCAGGGACTGATTATCCCAGCAAGTACACAGCTCAGCAACTGCCTTCAATCTGTCTCAATCTATGGCAAACCGTTTGGTGTGCATCCACGCACATGCAGTGCATATGTCTCTCCTTCAAAGCTGTGCCCAATGACTGACATTTGTTTCCAAAGTTATGGCGCCTTCCTGTCGAGGCAAATAATAAATAATAATCCTTGCATTTGATATTTTGCCTTATCACATCACTGAGATGTCTCAAAGAGCTTCACAGAATATATTGGAAAGTGAATTGACTGTGTATGTTGCGACGAAACACGGCAACCGACTGTGCACAGCAGTGTCGCACAAACAGTCGTCGATTGAGTGAACAATTTTTTTGGGGGGATTATTACCCATGCAAAGTGATCCGCCAATCAACTAACAACTGGGTTCCTACTTACTGCTGGGTAAACAGACCCTGTGGAGTAAGGAAACTTGCCTAAGGTTTTGCTCTGCTCGGGAATCGAATCCGGTTCCTCTCGTCTGGATTGAGTGCATTAACCACTTCGCTACAGGACTCCAAATGTCTTACTTTCCACAACAGATAAAAATTGCTCACAATAAATAACTGGGAATAATTTTCTCGTACTTGGCACCTTCTCGGGGATTGTTGGCCAGGACACTGGTAGGAGCTCCCATTTTTTCTTTTCGAAAAGTGCCATGGGATCTTTAACTTCCTGAACACTGTTTAGTGTGAGTACTGCACGCCCAGCAATGAACTAGTAGCACAACACATTCCGTTTGGATGGCGATAAAGCGCTTCCCCCCAGCGTTGCGCTGGAAAGTCAGCCTGGACCACGAGCGTGCTACATGGTTTCCACTTGTGTAAATATCCAACTGTCCCGACAGGCACAGGGCCTGCTCCCAGTACATCTGCGAGGCATTAGCTTTGTGAACAGTTGCTGTGGGAGCAGGCAGTCAGGAAGGGAACAGAATGAAAGGATGGTCTGTAATCTGGGACGAAGTGTACGACTCACTAGTGCATTAACCGAGTGTCAGTTTTGTTTCTCCAGCAGTAAAACAGGAGAGAGGAGAGTCTTAAACACGAGCCAATAAAACCACGTTCATTTGATGGAAGGCCGAGGGACAAAGACATAAGAGGGGAAACATGTGATCCATTGAAATAAAAGAGCACTTTTCCAGATCACACCAGCATATTACAACTAGGATAATAATAATAATAATAATAATAATAATAATAACAATAATCCTTGCATTTGATATCACGCATTATCACATCGTTGGGACACCTCAAAGTACTTCACAGAATATATTGTAAAGTGAATTGATTGTTTATTTTGTGGGTTAAAACACAGCAGCCACATATATATGATATATATCTATATATGTATGGTGAAACGCAGCAGCCACATATATATGATAGTCTCTGCCCTCAGCCATGTGCACAATTTGAGCTACATTACAATTCATCAATAAGTAATAACATGGCTGCAAAATTTTTCTATTTTAATACGTATCCAGCGGTGGTCTCACCCTCCCGTTTCCTTCACGGAGAGAAGGAAGCATAGACTTAAAGTGCCAGTCCCTTTGGATTTCACTGAGGATACAAATCACATAGGCACCAGTTTAAGGGCAGCAGACCCATGTACTGAAGGATGAATTCCCGCTGGTGGGTGTACAACCTGCACAGCAAAGCGAAGGGCACTCAAATTGTCAGGCGGCTCACAAAGCGATTACCCCCAGGGTCCACTCAACACAGGAAACATTTTTTTTAATAAGAAATAGATTAATAAAAAAGACACTTCCCTGACGCAGGTCAGTGAGAGACACGGGGTTAACCACTTCAATTACTAGTGAAATAATAGTGGGATAAGAACGTGGAGGTCAAACTCAACAACTCCAGAGTTTTCTTGTGAAATAATGGAGCATTTTTTCTGAGGAAGCAAAACTCACAGACGCTTCTCGATGAATCACTCGACCTTTGTCGCAGGTGCCGTCCTTCAGATGAGATATCAAACTGAGCCCCCGTCTGCCTGTCCAGGTGGACGTTAAAGATCCCCTGACGCCACTCGAAAAGAGAAGGGAGTTTCTCCCGATGGCCTGCTGCCAACAATTTCCCAAAATAAAATCGATCGCTCATGTTATGGCTGTTTGTGGGACAATGCTGTGTGCTAATAGGCTGACGTGTTCGCACACCAAACACACAGTCACTGAACTGAAGCGTTTTGAGAATTGCAAGGATTATTGTTATTATAATCCAGTTGCTACATTTCATACAATTCCAATTTTTTTTTTGGACTGATCAAAATCACGTTGAAAAATAGGTTCCTTTCTTTCTTTTAAGAAAAAATTGGGTTTGGTTTTATGGCATCTTAATCAGGTCAATGCCGTTTCAAGTTGCTTCACTCAGTGAGTTGTGTTGGGCTGCTGCTACAAAGGCACAACAAGGCACCAGCGACATCCTCCCACACACCGTCAGTGAGATAACCTGACCTCGTCCCTCACACACATCAGTGAAATGTGATTCATTCAATAATTAGACAGGACCTTGCTTTGCTGTCTCACCCGAAGGACGTCACCTCCGACATTGCACCATTGCTCCAGCATTGTCAGCTTAGCCTGTGAGCTCAAAGCACTGGTTTGTGAAACTAATTTTAGTAGAAACTTAAAAGCAATTTGGGAAACGGAAACCTTGGAGGCAGAAGTGAGAGGGGAACCAGACAGGGGGATAAGACCTGCGGACCAATTGATAAGACATCAACTAGTCCATCGTACAACAATGTGTTAAATGTACGCATTGCCAGTTGCTACTTTCAGCACATTCGCACAGATTCCATCTCCTGAACTCTGGCACTGTTCAGTAAGGAAACGAAAATGAAAATGAGCATGTTCACTCAAAAACCCGGTACCTGTTGTTAGTTCTTGTGAGTTAATGGTTATTATTTTTGTTCACCTTCAAGTTTTGGCGCCAATCTTAAAAACAGAATGGTCACGTTCGTAAGAGAGACGCCAAGCCTATTCTGGGGGTTACCACTCTGCAAGTAACACTTTTAACAACTCGAATCAATCCTTTAGACTCTTCTGCCTGCTCCCCCCTCCCCACCCCCACCCAGCCAGCTGAATATTACAAGAGATCTGACATGTAAAAATCAACGACGACAACAATTTGCATTTTCAAGCGCTCCGAGACGCCATCTGGAGTGAAGGGCGCTATATAAATGCAAGTTGTCGTTGTTGTTATATAAGCCCCATTCACGTAACATCTCGGGAGCGCTTCACTGGGGCAGGGTCGGATGCCGAGCAAGGGAGAAGGGGAAAAAATCCTTATTTATAGCACCAACATTTGAGAGTCAAAAGATCTATGCCCTTTTAAAGAGAGGATGTCTAGCTCTTTAACTCAAATAGATCACAGCTGTAAAAACAGTGAGTGAAGCACAGAGTTACTATATCATGTCATCAGATGACTTAATAATTTGCGATATACTTTATGAGCACCTGTGGATGAGAAAGGGGAAGGGGGGGTGGGAAGAGAGTCTATATCAGGCAATAAAATTCTCTTTTACTGTATACATTAAACATGTGTAAAGTTCAGGTCTCAGGAATACTTAAGATCGAAACCACTGTAAACTTTACCCTTTCCTTATTCAAATATCCTTCCCTTCCTCCTGCCCCTTCTCACTCCCCCTCACCTTCCCAACTGGGTTCTTGTTTAGTACAGGATGTTGAATGCTCAACCACAGTGGCCTGTTTCGATTGCAGACCACGAATAGACACTTTGACTGCGCGGGTTTACAGCTTTATTCATCGGATGTGAAGGGATCGGTTCACACGGGGCTTGGGGTTCTTTGGCGGTGGAGCCAAGTAGAGATGTCTGGCTGGATGATAGAACAATCATTCAATAAATACAAATAAATATTTCCACTGGCAAGAGTGGGGGGCGGGGTGTGGTAGGACGAGTCGTGGTGTGGAGAGAGGTTGGTGGTTATGGGGTATTGGTGAAAGTGTAGATCCTCAATTCTGTCCAACTCTATACCCTGTACCCTGCACCAACTCTGCCTCTGCACACCATTTGACTCTTTGGTCCTTCACTCTTAATTACACAAACACACGCAGACAGACACACGTACACACATACACAAAGATGCACACATACAGGTATAGACAGTTAGAGGAGCAGAGATACACATACAGTACATTCTGTGAAGCACTTTGAGACATCTCAACGACATGATAAGGCGCTAGAACAAATGCAAGGATTATTTTTATTATTATAGAACAGTTCGAGAGACAGAGGATCAGATGCTCACACACACTCACACACACACACAGGTATAGACAGTTAGAGGAGCAAAGACACACACACACACACATATAGACAGTTAGGGGAGCAGAGACACACACACACAAACACTCTGGCAATTAAAGATGCAGAGACACACACAGTTAAGAGAAGCAGAGGGTCAGAGAGAGACACACACACGCAAACATATCAACACATGGTGACCCTAATCCGCCCTGTTTTCACGTTTGAGGCTGGCTTGTATTTGTGTGGATATGGAGCTCTGTAGAAACAGTCTCCTGGCCACTATCGTGTAATCCCTCCCTGGTATCGATTGTTGCCTCTCTCTGTGCCAGCTGGTAAATATTACACGTTACTAGATTAGTGTTCACATACAGCTCTGCTAATGTATAGACCACAGACCCTGCCGGCCATAATTTAATCAAGGGAATAAATAGAGCAGGATATGGTGGGATAACATTCTGTGCTTTCCTCCTTCATTAGAGATAGCCATCAGAGATCCCATCCAACACACTGGCCGAGATGTGTTCAGACAAAACAACCCCTCTTTCACCGCAGACACTTTGAGACAACTAAATAGAAAGAACAGAATAAACCCTACTCCATTCCTTTCACAGACTTAGACTGATCTTCTGCATGTCCCTCGAACTCTCCATGCCACAATTGGCGGCCGTGCTTTCAGCCACTGAGCCCCATATCTGTGGAACTCCTTGCCTCAATCCCTCCGTCTTGCCTCCTCTTTGCTTATCTTCAAATCAGACCACCTTAAAGCCTACCTCTTCGACTCCAGTCACCATTCTGCTTTGCTTGGAGCCTAGCCTTCGTCACAGTGAAGCACTCTGAGATGTTATCTGACATGAAGGGCACTCATATAAGTGCAAGTTGTTGTTATTATAAGGCGCTACGTCAAACACAAGGATTATTATTACCGTTAGGCTACCTCTCAATAGTCGCCTTTCCAAATCAGGAGCCCCTCCCCACCCCAATCACTCACGCCCACACTTTGCCCACCCACCGTTCCCTTCAAGCAATGAGGAGGAGGAGGAGGAAGGAGAAAGCCACTCACCGGCCTGGTTGGTGGTGATGGAGACAGCGGTGAACTGCGGAGGGGACGAGCTGAGCTCCGACACCCCGTTCACGGCCTCGATCTCGAAAGTGTAGTTGGTGTGAGCCAGCAGCTCACCCACGGTCACCGTGGCGTTGGCCAAGCCCGCGCGCCGCGGCAGGAAGTGGACGTGGCTCAGGCAGGGCTCGCACTGCGCCGGGCCAGCTCCGCACTTCTTACAGACCACGTTGAAGGTCACGTCTTTGCGCCCTCCCATATCGTCGGGCCAGCTCCACTCCAGGATCACTGAGGTCTCGTTGATGTTGGAGAAGACGTTTCTTGGAGCAGAGGGCGGTCCTAAAAGTGTGAACGAAAGAGAGGAAGAGAAAGAAAGAGAGAAAGGGGGAGAGGAGCAGCAAAGAAAGAGAGAAGAGAGGAGAAGAGAGAGATAGAGAAGAGAGGAGAGGAGTGGGAGAGGAGAAGAGAGGAAATGTTAGAGAGAGGGAAGATGGAGAGGAGAGAAGAGAAAAGACCAAAGAGAGAAGAAAAGTTAATTGAAGCATAGCAATCGCAACTTACTGAGGTACAATTAGAGGTAGCTTGGAAGTCTCTCCTCCCCCTCAGAACCTTCAGTTAGCCTAGGGCCAAAGCCTAGCAATTGCTAAAAGCTAATTTAGTATTAATCATTCACTTCCCGGCTGTTTATGGGACGTTGCTGTGCGCAAATTGGGTGCTGTGTTTGCTTACAAAATACAGTCACTGCACTTTACTGAAAATCTGGTGAAATACTTTGAGACGTCCTCGGGAGGTTGTGAAAGGCGCTATAACCAATGCAAGGATCATGCTTGATAGTCTGGGTTAAGGAGAGTGTTTGCTTTCAAAACTTGTAGTCACATTAACACTGCCAAAGCGCTCGTTTGGGTGTGAAACAAAATGGAAGTGGATGCTTGGACCTGGAGAGGAACTGGCCTCTTATCTAAGATTGTGGAAATAACCCCTCATCGCCTTTACCATTCCCCCTCCTGTCTTTCCCTCTCCCCCGATCATCGTCCCCCACCCACCCACCATGTGACTTCTCAGACTGCAACAATGCTTTAATTAAATCTGACTGAACCACAATTTCAGTTTAATCCGCCAGGCCCGCAGCCTTTGCTAATAAAACGTGACTGATGTCTAACTTTATTGAGAGATAAAAATACAGTGCACGAAAGCGGTTTGCGTCCGCAATTAATTTTACGATGAAATGAACCATTAATCCTCCGCCAGTGAGTTAACACGCTCCTGCTGTTTAACTCGCTGAATTCTTGAGGAGCCAGGTACTTTGTTCGTTTCTCTCTACAGATTAATGCGTCTTGCTTCTGTTACAAGCGCGTGAATGCGGTGATGAGCACGAAGAGGCACGTTATCGGATGTCAGCGCCTCGGGACATCCTCTCGAGGTGAAAGCCGCTATACAAATGTAATTTGTTGTTGTTATTCAGGAATCGTGGGAAAGTCACTGAGTTCGTATCATCTGGAAAAGTCGGTGAAGTAGAGCAATAATGGAGTAAAACACTGAATCATAGAAATGCACAGCGCAGAAAGAGACCATTCAGTCCATCGAGTCCGTGTCAACTCATCCGACTTCTTCCATCTGGACCACCCACATCCCTACACCAAGCTGCTTTTTCAAATGAGTCCATTCCTGTCCTCTACCACCTTTCCTGGTAACCCGTACCAGTTGTTGATAACTTTCTGCGTGAAAGAAAAACTTCCTGGTTTATGTCCCGAAATTGTCTTTTAAAATTCTAAATCTATGTCACTCTTGTACTATCATCGCGACACATCGTAAAGTATTGATCTGGGTTTTATTTTTCAACCCCGTTTAAAATTTGAGTCGTCTTCTCTCAAGACACGGCTATTAAAAAATACCAACTCCTAAGTGTTCCACGGATGTCAAAGTACAGAACAGAGAAAGTTTACAAGGAGACAAGTCACCAAACCAGTCACCAGAGGCAGGGATTCTTCCCACTGGGCTCCTGTTGACCCCACAAGCCGGAGCCCTGATGAGGAGTGCGGTCCCAGCTGATCAAGCAGCCGGAAGCTTGCCAGACAGTGCTCACAATAGCAAGCGGCATAGTTTTAGCAGGTTTAAGATACCTGAAGCGGTTATCTCCAGTGCACACTCTGGGATCACCTCAACCCTATATTAGACTCCGGCCAACATGAACCTAGTGCTCTCCTGGTTGAGGTGAGCAGGGTGCGTGCCTCCTGGGAGAGATTGTATGCGCAATCCAATCTAGCCAATGAAATATTTCCAGCACGTGCAGAACGCTCAGTAGTTTGGTTTGGAAACTTTATGGCGATGGGTTTCCACGTGAGCCAGCTGTTCCCCAGGATAAAAACAGTTCCGTGTGTTCAGTGGCCTCATGAGGTTCAGCCTCAACACGCACTGAACGATTGAGTTTTGTCAAAGGGTTGAGATGTCCTCGGGGGATTCCCACCTACTGCCACCACGGCAGAGAAATTGACAGTGGCCATCGATTTCAGTCACAGTGATGTTTCACTTACCGGGGGGGGGGAATTTGTTGTTATTCACCTGTGTATTGTTTGGGATAACAAGTGCTGAAGTAATCTGAAAGCCTAGTGGGTTCACTCACTTCTCCGCAAACGCGGATAAGCACGCATGACTGCCTTTCTGAGAGGGCTGAAGGGCGGTGACTCCACCGATATGGCAATACGAGCACCATCAGTCAATCTGCTGATGTGTATCGCCCATGAGGATTCCATTCCCTCAACACAGGTAGTCTGCGATGCTCAGCAAAAAACATAATAGATCCTCTAGACGACTGGTAACAAGGACACAGCTTGCTCACGGCAGAGTGGGGGGACTGCTGAGGAAGGAGGAGTGTTAAGGTGACTGAAAGCACAGTCAAAGAGCTCTTAACATGGGCTTTAACGGTGATGGGAAGTAGCCACAGGGACTCTGGGATTGAGTTTTAATTAGATTAGTTGTATATATATACAGGGTGAATCAGAAGTCCTATTCATACAAGTTTTAATTGTTAATTATGTTGGTAGAGAGTGTACAGCTAATACAGGAGAAATCTTTGTGGAGGTTTTCGTCACTGAGTTGATATGTATAAGCATCTGCATAGCATGCAGTTCGAACATCTCATGTAGACCAAGGAGTAAGGACTTTTGATTCATCCTGTGTACATGGACAATTTTACAATGAAGCTGTTAGCACCGAGCTTTCAAACTGGCTGTGACAGGCCTCGACTGTCTGCTCGTCATCGGACATCGGATGTGAAGCAGCGATCACACAAGCCAAGGCTGTTGGCGTTCATTAACACTTGGAGCTGACAGCCCAGTCTCACCGTGGACACGTGAGCAAGTGAAAGCAGAGGGACTGCAAATAGAAATTGGGTGACAAGTCGACCGGAATTCCTGCAGGTTTCAGCGATACAGGCATAGATGCTGGCGCTCCCTTTGTTCCCATGTTCAAGTTGTAAAATTCCTACTGCCTGTTAAAATAGCACAGCAAACAGCCATTTTGCTGTGGAAAATTTATAATGATAATAATAATAATGCTTGCATTTGATATAGCACCTTATAACGTCATGAGACATCTCAAAGTGCTTCATAGAACGTATTGTTAAGTGGATTGACTGTGTATTTTGTGAGCGAAATGCAGTAGCCAATTGTGCACAGCAATATCCCATGAACAGTTGTGGATTGCATGACCAATTTTATTTTGAGGGTCTATTACCCCTGGAAAGTGATCTGCCAATTGATTAACAACTGTGTTCCAACTTACTGTGGGTAAACAAAAGGAGGAAGGAAACTTGCCTATGTTCACCCCTCCCGCACCACCCCCCCCGTTAAAAGCCTTTTGGGTCTTATACCAATTCCAGATCTCGGGAAATTTTCCACGTTAAGTTTGTAGCAAAAGCACGGGCTCAAAGGCAGTTTTAAGGCTAAGACCATGAGAGATCCCAGGCCTCGGGCTTGTGGCCGTGAGGTGAGATGATCAAGTTCCTTCCATTCTTACATGAACCGAAGTCTAAGCTCAATCTTCGCTGGGTGTTTTATTGAATGAACCACCACTCACAATTAATAAGCTGCCACCACTTAGATTGATAAGGCTTTAAACCAGTTACTTTGAAAGAGTCACAGCCTTGTAATGAGCCTCCTATTGCTAATGACTGAAACATCTCTGATCCAGGAAACACAATGCGCCATCGATCCTCTTATTGTGGTAAGGTTGGGACCTCACTAAAAGGGATCAGAGTCCTGTAGCGTAGCGTATCAGTTAGAGCACTCGCCTCGCAAGCGAGAGGACCCTTGTTTGATTCCTGGGTGGGGTGAAATTTTAGTAAAGTTTCCTTACTCCACACATCTCTGTTTACCTAGCAGTAAGTTGTTATCCAGTAGTTAGTCAATTGGCAGATCGTTTTCGAGGGTTAATAATGCACTCAAAAAACATTTGGTCACTCAATCCATGACTGTTCATGGGACACTGCTGCATGCAATTGGCTGCCATGTTTCGCCCATAAAATATACAGTCAATTCACTTTACAGTATATTCTGTGAAGCGCTTTGAGCCATCTCAAAGATGTGATAAGGTGCTATATCAAATGAAAGGACTATTAGGATTATTATTATTGTTTCTCCTGTACGCCGCAGCCACTCTGCCAGCACGAGACAGGACCGAAAAGGTCAGAAACAAAAGAAGAGAAAAGATTGAGTACTCACTGGAGCATGCCATGGAGGCAGGATCCTTGTCCGATCGGAAGTAGCTCCTGTCACATTTGCAGGACACGGACCCCTGTGCTTGAGTGTGGCTATGAGGAGGGCACTTGGCACACTTAACATTTCCAGCAAAAGCTTTGTAGAACCCAGGCTTGCAGGCTGGAGAGGAGATCAAAGAGCATGAGGGTTAGTTCAACATTGCACACTACGCATGTTGTACGTTTAATGCCCAGTCAGGCCTCGCTATTCTGAACTAGCACTGCAATTCTTCTCAATGAGGGCTTTTCCTATTGAGTCCCGATGATAGGGAATAGGGAAAACCTCTCAAGATCGGAGTTCCTTTGTTATATTAATAATTGTTACATTTGATGTAACACCTTATCATGTCAACAAAATAACTCAAAGAGCTTCACAGGATTTCACCGTAAAGTGCAGTGACCGTACATTTGCAGGCAAACACAGCTGCCAATTTGCACACATTAATGTCTGACAAACAGCCAGTTGAACACAATTTACACCTATATAGCGTCTTTCAAGTTGGGAGGACATCTCAAAGTACTTGCTCGACACCTGAGCTGGAGATGGGAGCCAAGTCGGGTGGCCTTAAATGAGGTGAAGAGAGTCAGAGGGACTCCAGGATGGAGCTCCAGAATGCGGGGATAGAATGACTGAAAGCACATTTTAAGGGATTGTTTGCCCTGACACCAAGAGAAACTCCCTTCTCTTTTTGAACAGTGGCATGGGATCTTTAACACCTACCTTAACAGGCAGGCGGGACCTTGGTTTAAATGTCCAACCAGGCAGCCCTCCCCAAGCACTGCACTGGAGCATCAGACTAGACTATGACTCTTAAAAAGTCCCGGCAGGAGATTTGAACCCACAACTCTGACTTAGAGGAGAGAATGCTATCAGTCAGACAGACAGCTGTTGGAGCTACAGCTGAATTCTGCAACATCAGGGGTTGCAATTACTGTATTGTGGTGTTGTGGCGAACCTGGCTAATCTTGGAGTAAAAATAATTTGATTAGAAAAAATAATAAATAATCCTACACGACACCTCTCATCCCTTTTGATTGATTTTTTTTTACATACCAAATAGCTAGCTGTAATGAACATTACTTACATCTTGCCCACTAATGGAAGACTATAAATCATCCACTTTCAGTACGGCTCCCAACGTTAAGTGTAGAAGTAACTGAGCAGAGTTCCTCTGACCATTAATGCCCCCCTACTCACCCCCCCACCCCCCCATCACCCCTGTTACACAGAATTGCATCAATAAGAATCCACGTGAAGCTCAGCAAACATAATAACTTCATAGACTCATAGATGATACGGCATAGGAGGAGACTGGTCAACCTAATCTGATGCTAGTTCCTCCAATAACTTTGAGATGTTTTGATGTGGTGACAAGACACTTTATCAGATGTAAGAATCATTATTATTATTATTATCACCGTAATTCCAATTTCCTGCTCGTTCTCCAGATCCTTTAATATCAAGGGATACTCTGTGAAGTGTAGTGACTCTGTATTTTGTAGGCAAACGCAGCAGCCAATTTGCACACAACAATGCCCCACAAATGCAAACTGTGAAGCGAGTGAACAATTTTATTCTTGGAATTGCTGGCAGGAGATCGGGAAGATAGTATCACAGGATCTCCCTGAAGAGGGAGAGGGAACCTCGGTTTCTCGTCTAAACATCTCATCTAAATGACATTGACCTCCACAACACAGTGCACCCTTAGTTGTCCAATTCAATGTTAGCCTAGGCTGTGAATTTAAAGTCCCAACATGGGGCATAAACCCACAGACTCAGAGGCGAGAGTGCGAGCAACTGAGCCATTTAAATGTACGGTAAGGGTAAGAGGTGGACAATAACCTGAATTTGTGGAGCCCTCCACCTTACAGCTACAATTGAATACAGCCAGATTGACTCTGTTGACACTGTATTGACTGCCAAATACAACAACAAGAAGAACAACTTCATTCGGGATAGTATCTCAGAGTGCTCAGTGTGCACTTTTGGCTTTACAGAAAAACCTTCTCTTTTTTGGGGGGAGAAAAAAAAGCATTTCCGATTTTCTTCCGGTCCTTTGCAAAAATGCAGCGAATCAGTAAAAGGAGACACAGGCCGTGCAGGATGGCTGGGTCGCAGGCCATTAAAAGCTTGTGTGTTCCCGTTCATGCCAATGCGCCAGAGTGCCTTGCGAGGCTTGTTATCAAGGCGATGGCACTCCACTGAAAGGCCGCTTCAAACATTCATTTAGTGAGTCAATTTCAGAGGCCAGATGCAGCTCAAAGAGTTAAATGGTTGATTCTCGTTTCATTTTAAAATAAGAGACCAGGCCGGTTCTCACGCAGTTGGAAAATCCATTCGAGTCGCGGCAGAAAAAGGCTCAAGGCACAGGCACTGTTCCCAGACATCGAAGCCCAATTTGCGGGTGTTGACAGATTGCTTATTACGAAAAATATGGGATTATTGATTTTTTTTGTGGTGGGGGGGGAATCAAAAGAGCGTGACGAAGAATGCTTTTCGATTATTACACGTTTCTTAGTAAGACGTCCGTTAAAAACAATATTGCGAATTGAACACTGATTGACAGGGTTCACTGCCTGCCAATCTTTCATCTCATTCACACAAATGACTCACTTCCAGCACTGTTGTAAAGAGTATCAACACCATCAGAACACAACTCTGGGGCCCTGGAGCCCTTCCAGGTCTGCATGCCTAGTGGATGCTGCAGCCAGAATAAACCTGAGTGAGGAGCAGACCAATTGAGCTCAGCCAACCCTTGTGTGTCAGCTTGGTTCAGTAGCAGCACCCTGGCCTCTGAGTCAGAAGGTTGTGGGTTCATATCCTATGTCAGGACTTGATCTCACATTGTCTAAGGTGACAAGTGTTGCGTTGTCGGATGAGACGTTAAACCAAGGTCCCATCTCAGGTGGACGTCAAAGATCCCATGGCACTATTCGAAAAGAGAAAGGAGTTTCTCTCTCCTGGTGTTTTTGAGGCATTTCACTGTCACTGGCGGTTATTATCGAGTGCAAACATTGGAGTCCTGTAGCTCAGTGGTTACAGCAGTCACCTTGCAAGCGAGAGACCTGGGTTTGATTCCCGGCAGGGTGAAACGTTGGGGAAATTTCCTTACTCCACACACCTCTGTTTACCTAGCAGTATGTTAAGGGTTTGCAGCCAAGTTGGGGGTTAGAATCAAGAGGTGTGGAGGGTTGGGGATGGGATGTTATATAAATGCAAGTGGCATTTATTGACAACAATTGGGACAGGCGGGTATTTTGGGAACATGGCCCGGGCAGAGCTGGGTAGGGGTCACAGCGTAATTTACAGAAATAATAATAATAATAATCCTTGCATTTGACATAGCGCTTTTTACGACTTCTAGACGTCTCAAAGCGCTTCACAGAATAGACTGTAAAGTGAATTGACTATATATTTATGAGCGAAAGCCCCCAGTGCTCTATTTTCTCATTCGCGCTCACTAATGTGAAGAGCAGTCAAACAGTGATTGAAGACAGATGGAAAGCACCTCCCACCCTCTCCTGCCAGTAGCACGTTCAACACCTTTGGTGTCAATTTCTCACCGCCCGCTGCTCTTTGCAAGCCCCAGCGTAGTGCAGGCGAGGGCCCTGCATGGCCGTGCTAATGGAGCTCACAATACAGGTGGCTGCGCTCGGAGCTTAAAGGGGCCTTTAAATCTTCATGTTAAAGGTGTACGCAAGGCTGCTTTTTACATATAGATCATCAGAATGCGGGCAACGAGTGAAACTTGCAGAGTTTCATATAGTGTTCCTAAGTGTTAACCATCACAAGGAATGGTCAGCAAGTCACTGCAGAATTCACCTCATTGTATTCTTTCACACACGACACACCCACACATAAGCAGCACCTTTTCTCATAAGATTGTGGTATAAAAGCACTAGGGAACATAATAGAATTCTATATCAGTTTAGGTTCTCATAGGAGAGGAGGGGGTAGGGGATTTGGGAGTGAGACCCCGATCTGGGGGGTGGAGGGAGAAATTCCACTTGGCCCTTGTCTTAAGTCCTATTTTCTTGTCCTTAGCGTTTTAGAGCATGCACATTTTTGGAAAAGACTGAAATTCAGCCTCAATCTTTGAAGCTAAAGAACCTCTGTAGGTTCTGATAATAATAATATTAATAATAATAATATGGTGGTTTGTGGGACATTCCTGTTTGCAAACTGATTGCCGTGTATACCCGCAAACCACACAATCTTTACAGCGTTTACAGTCTACCCTGTGAAGCTCTTTTGACATTTCCCGATGTGAAAGGGGCTATACCAAGTGCAAAGATTAAGATTGATATTATTAAACATAATCCTTGCATCTGATACAAGCCCTTTCATGTCGGAAGGACGTCTCAAAGCGCTTCACAGGAGTTTCACTGTAAAGCACTGTGTAGGTGAACATTGAAAGGCTTCAAAACGAAGCCTGAATTTTAGAAATGTCCAAAATTGGCACATGTTCTAAAAATAAATCAAGGAAAAGAATGTATAGCCAGATCCAGGTGGAATGTCTCTTCCACTTACCCCTTGAGCACCCCCCAGGCCCCCTCCCCCCGCCTCAACACCACCACCCAACCAGAAGGCCAGCAGCTGACTGGCTGGAGACCAGCCGTTGTTGTTTCCTACACACTGTACAGCAAGCAAAACAAGAGGCTAAACAATTGCACAGGAAAGAGCAGAAAGCATTCCGCTGAGGAATAAAGGGCTAGGATTGCTCTTCTCTCCTGAGAGGGGGACTTTGAGATTGGGTTTCACTCTCACTTCTCTTCCCTCAGCTGTTACGGGTCCATGTGATGCTGAGAATGAAGTCGCTCACTGTCCCAGGAAAAGCAACAGCTACGGGGCTCCCATTCATCTCCCATTCATCTCCCAGAGGATACAGTTCAAGATCCTGGTCCTCGCCTACAAAGCCCTCTATGGTCTTGCTACCCCCTTACCTCTCTGATCTCCTAACCACCTACCATCCTGTTCGCTCCCTCCGCTCAGCGGGCACCGGCCTGCTTCACGTCCCCCGCCTTGCTCGCCCCAATATCGGGGGGCGGGCCTTCCGTCACTCTGCAGCCACTCTACTGGAACTCCATCCTGCAGTCCCTCCGTTTCACCTCCTCCCTCAC